TCGTGGCTTCTTGCCCGTCTTTGCATCCTTTCGCGTACTCTGCTTAATCGGCAACGGCTCCGGTTGAGTTTCATGTCTCGTTCTTTTTGTACGCGATGTCCGGGACTCAAATTATCCTCTTTGCGTTCCCATGTTGGTGATTTGTCGACACGTTTACCGTGCTGATTCGTTATCGTCTTGGTTGTTGTTGTGGTGGTAGTTGTAACACTACTATTAGTCGCCGGATCCGGCTTGCGGTGCATTGGCGGCGAGGATGTAAGGCGCACTTGAGTTTGTTGCTGACTGGATGGCTGGAAAACTGGATGTTCTTGGTGCTGGAGACCGAAGAGGACTTCGGCGTAAGTGCTGCCAGTACTTATATCCTGGGGCCGAACTTGTTTATTGTTCCGCTTCTGAGGCCGGGGATGGACAATGACATTCGTGGATACTTCTGGGACTTGGGGGACATCTGCTGGTACTGGTACTGCAACGACTTCCGGAGTCTGTTGCGTTATCACAGTTGGCTGCGTTGGCTGTTTGGAAACAATGGTGGTTTCCTGTACATAGCTGGTTGTGGACACACTGGGTTGATGTTGAACCTGAGGCTCAGGAGGATGCACTTGTGGCAAGTCCACTGGTATGGTTTCAATTGCATCAACGTCAAACTGGCCAAAGGTAATATCCGGTCGAGGCTCATTCAGCTCAAACTCCTGGGGCTCTACAGCATGTGGTATGTGAACATGCTCTTCGATATAGTACTGCTGAGACTGTGGCTCACTTTGCACAACAACTGGTTGTATTTGCTGGGTGCTGGTGGTGAGTGGCTCTGAGCTCTGTTGCACCATTGAGGCCAATGTGGTAACAACGCGATCCAGCACGCTGCTACCGGTTGAAGTCGTCGTCAGAGTGTTCTCCACCTGGTAGGGTTCGAGTATGTAGGTCTGCGGCTCTACTGAATCTTGCTGGAAATCTTGCAACGGCTGCTGCTGTTGCTGCAGTGGGTATTCCTGAGAATAATCAGTGGCTTGCTGAGCGTAGTAGATTTGATTCGGTTCTGCGGGATATACAGTGGGATAGGTATCCGCCTGAGCCACCGGCTGATAGTAACCTGTTAAGAGCTGATATTGCGCCGTGGCTGGTGGCACTGCCACTTGCTGATACTGAATGGGATACTGCATCTGCATTATCTGCTCGTAGTAGTTCTGTTGGGTCTGCTGCAGCGGCTGCTGCTGTTGTTGCGGTTCCGTTGCAGAACCCGTGACGTAACTCCACTGGCCGCTATCGGCTACGTTTTCATACATTGTCTGATACAGCTGAGGATCGGGTTGCAAATATGTTGCTGCAATCTCTTCGGCAGTCATGGGCACTTCATAATTGCTGATGGGTTTCGGCTGCTGCAATTGCTGTGACTGCTGCTCCATTGGCTGCTGTTCCTGCTGAGGATGAGAATAGGTAAGATCTGTGCTTGCATCACTAATGTATTGATCCAGCTGTGGACGATGCTCCTTGATGGGTGGCTCTAGGAGCTCAGATTCGGGAACGAAGATACTGCTCGAAGCAGCAGCGCTCGCATCTACCACATCCTGAATAGTAAGATCGGTACGACCCTGTACGGCCTGAGAGGCCACCTGCTCTGCCTTCAGGCGCTCCAATTCCAATCCCCGGAGAACTTCCGCATAGGAAGTTGAACCGGGCACCCACATGGGGCTGCGAGATCTTGAGCGATCATCAATGGGCAAAAAGAGTTGCTCCTGGTGGGATTGTGGCTGTTGATCCAATTGAATCGAAATTTCGGGCTGCTGGGGTGATGGCGCCTGTGGTCGCCGCCTTGGCGATCGACCCCGACGTTCTGGCCGTGGAGGCTGAAGTTTCTTACCCGCCGGCTTTGCCTTTTGATGGTGCTGTTGTTCGCTCTCGATAAACTGAGTGTTGCTGTCATTGGTGGTGGATGCCGTGGTGCTCAGAGTTGGTGGTGTAGCCGATCTCTGACGTTCGAATATAACCGTGGAAATAGTTCCACTTGCGCCATTGAAATCGGTATTCTCTTCGGCCTGGAGTTCGTCACCGTGCGTACGTTTTGAAGTCGTGGTTGTGGTTGTAATAGTTGTGATTGTTGTCTGGTTCTGGTTCTGGTTCTGGGTCTGGTTTTGGTTCGTTTGTTTCTGCTGCTGGGTCGTTGTTGTCGTCGTTGAGGTGTCTCGTTCTCGTGGTCGGGATTTCGTTACAGGTTCATTACCGCCGCTTACCGGACTCGTTGTCCCGACAACACTTCAGCGTAGGTCAGACCCACTGACGCCGTTGGCTTCATAAGCAACGAGACAGTCGATGAAGTGGTCACCACTGAATGGGTATCCAGCGCATAGGACTTTCGAGCGGTTGCATCGTAGACTTGCTGCATGCCATCGATTGATTCTCGCATTGCCTAATTGTTCATCATGTTCATCACGAAGTATCAGAGTGAGAGAGAGAGTGGGAGAGATAGGGGGAAGATTTGCCAAAAACGTTAGCTTTGATATGTTTGCAGGGGTTTCAAAGGGGGAGGGATACAAAAACAAAGGCTAAACTACCTAAAAAGACAAGTACCTGAGCTCCCTAATAAAATTATATACTCGTTGGGTGTGGGGTTGCATTTTAAAAAATATATAATTCAATAATTTAATTTAATCTTTATAAGTAGTAGTTGTAATATGATAATTGTATATTCTTAAACACGGGTCATGTTTTAATCTTTGATTAGCGGCAGTTGACAATTTGACCAAAGCCACCGTTTCCCCAGGGAGAGAGAGGGATCGGCAGCGATGGCAAGTGGCTGCTTTGGTTTTGATCTAGTCCTAGATAGGATTTAACTTAAGGGGTAAGGATACGGCGATACATCATCCTAAATCTCTAGCTTGGCATCGTCCGGCGTGCCGCGATGTATTAACAACTTGATGCGCTCATTACGTGCAGTTATTTTCGAATGCAGATTTTTGACACGTTCCCGGCATGCCTATTGTTTATATTTATTTATATATATTTAGGGTATTCATGGTGCATGTTTTTTAAAGAGAATTATTCGAATGTTGGCGTGAGAGCAGAGAGAGATATATATATATAGAGAAGAAATACAAGAGATATGTGTCAGCATATATATATCGAGATTCGTTTATGGTAATTGAAGGCAACAGCGAGTACAATATACGCCATGGGATAGATACACGAAAAGCGACCATTAACCATGTTCGATATTTCCATTTGTATTGAAGAAGTAAGCAGTACCCATGTGTGTGTATATGTTTGTTTATGTTCATTATTGGAGGGTTTTTGAATGGGATTATTATTCAGATGTTAAGCAGGTTTTAGTTAGTCACAGGTTTTATGTAAGTAAGTAGCACATCAGGCAAGCGAGCAAAGCCCAAATACATGTTTTAATTGGTTTAAATAGTATTAGTAGAGAACAATGTTTATATGTAGAGAGAGAGTGTTGTTTTAATAATTTTTGCATATTTGTGTTTCGATTTTTTCAGCGCAACGACACCAGGATTTTTGTTTATATTCAACAAAATTACGTAGAGAAAGGATGAAAAGAAATACACAATTGTCAAAAATAAAATACAAATTAAAAAACCGTAACCATAATTAAGAAATAACCGATTTTCGCTATTAAAATACCAAGAGATAGAGATAGAAAGGAATGTAGAAAAAAGAAAGAGCTGCTTGGCTAAGCTGACTAATAAGTAAATTAAAAAAAAAAAAAAAAAATAAATAAATTAAAATTCAAAGCTTCATGTGTCTGTGCCTTAGAATGTGACGAAATGCAATGTGATGACTGTACTTTATAATGTTGTTTTTTGTATTTGCAACTATACTGTGTGTATATATGGGTGAGATTTTAGTGAGAGTAAAAATCAAAATAAGTTCTCATAGCTAGAGCTTGCCCCCAAATTAATATCATCAAAGATTAGCTACGGTCCCCAAATCGAATCGAATTCCAAGTTTGCCACTTACCGCCAAACATTACAGTTCGCAATGTAAACTTAGATTTTAATATTTAAAACTAAAAACTATTTAGGAAAAGTAGGGAATTGTTGATTTTATCCTAAGGTTACCTCAAAATGTTTAGATTTATATTTGTACTTTTGTTTATACGAGCAACAAAAACATTGGAAAACGTTTTAGCACTAAAAATAGTCTGCATGATTCTGTCTGGAAGAAGAATTCGGGGCTAACCCTGACAACAAGAACTTATTTTTTCCTCAATATTATAAATACTTTTTGGGCGCCGAAGCACGTGACAATGAGATCCACAAGCTCAGATATGATGTATAATTTTAGTGGGTCTTTTCCAATGAGAGATCTATATGAAAGCAATGGTTTTTCATGAGAGAAATGGGAGGAGCTGCACGGTTGGTAGGTGAGAATGATGTGATGAGAAATGTGTTAGCATAAGGAAACGCAAATGAGAATGATAAATGTCTTTATGTTTTGTGCGAAATGTATATATGATATAAAACCAATTCGAAAATAAAAACGTAATAGAATTTTAGCGCATATAAAAAAAAGAAAATAAAATGAATAAAATAATAATAAAGCACTTTGTTTTCTATTTCAACAAAACTAAAAATAAATTAAATAAATTACGCAGCCACCGTGCAACTTTTTTTTCTTCTTTTTTTGACCTACCCGCACCCATTAAAGCGCAATGGGTAAAACGATTTCAAAGATTAATCAAAAAAATATATATTATTTAGAAGAAATATATATTAAATATTCGGGTGGAGAAGGGTTAATAACTTTGTTTTGGTTGTTCTGTCAACTGTTTTGGTTGTTGTTGGTTTTTATCATAGCAATGAAGAAGGATCGATCGTTCACAGCAATGACGAAATGAGATATAGATAGTAAAAAGGGATATAATATTTCAATGACTTTCTAGAGAGCTCCTGGCAATAACTGATAACTGGAATATCTGAACTGATCTTGCTAGCTGGATTTGGCTAAAAGGGGGTCTCTACTACAACTGGCAAAGACTGGACGGTACGTACCTGTTGCTCGGCTAATGCACGCTCGCGATCATGCGGCAAGTACGTGGGCGCCATCACCAGGCGCAGCTGCTGCTCCTCCTGAATGATGCGCTGGCGCAGGGTCTGCATTTGCTGTTGATAGACATCGATCTGGGCCAGCGTCTGCTCGAGGCTCTGTGACTTGGCCTTGACCAATTCACCGAGACCATCGAGGACGCGTACCAGATCATCAACATTCTCGCTCAGACGCGGATCACCGCCCATTCCATTGCGGAAATGAACCTGCGAATGGGATCGTAAGCTTGGGATTAGCCATGCCGCCGCAGCGGTGGTACTCACCTCCAGTTTTTCAATAGACAGTCTCAGTTTCGTCTTTTGCACATTTATATCGGCCAGGGTCTTCTCACAGAAGCCAAGCTGATCGCGCAGCGGTTTCTTTTGCTGGGGTGAGGAATCCAAGCTCTGCTTGGTTTTCTCATGCCAGGCACGGATATCCTTAATCTTGCGTTCACATTGGTCCCATTCTTCGCAGGCCTCTTGCAGCAGGGAGTTCTATTGAGAGATTCATATAGGATAATTGAGAAATACAAATGATTAATTTTGGTTTCAAGTGACTCTTTCACTTTACCCTCTCAGCAGCACCGCTTCCACGGTTATCTTCGCATCCTCGGCCTCCTGCAGTTTGTCCTTGAGATCGCCCACAGTCGTCACCTGGCCAATGTGCTCCAGTTCCTTGTCCATTTCACTCAGATGCTTAACAATCGGTTTAATACTCTTCACAGCCGTCACATAGTCATTCAGTTTATTGCGTGCCTCGGGCAGAGTGCGCAGCTCGATCGTTTGGTCGATGAATGTGCGCTTCTCGGTTGCCCATGACATCACGATCTGGTAGAGATTCATGAATCTCGTCCATGCGTCCAAACTATCGCCCACCGCCTGCTTCTTCTCGTCCAGCCAGCCACGAACTTGGGCCAGGGATGCGGCCAACTGGTCGATGGTTGTCTGCACCAGTGTCTTCTCCTCACTGTTGCGGCAATTCTCGATGATCAGTTGCCCGTTGGTCTTGACCAGCGTGAAGCGTTCATAGATGGCGGTGATTTCGTGATTAATACGCTGCAGCAGCTCCTTCATCTGGGTGGGTGTGAGGCTACGCTCCTGCACCTGGACCTCAGCCTGAAGTAGCCAGCGCTGCACTTCGTCCACACCGGCCACATATTCGGTGCGCACGGTCTTGGCCCGCTTGAAATCCTTCTCTTTGGTCTCCATGGTCACTTGGACACGCTCGGCGAGTAGCTCGAGGGCAGTGAACTCTTGGGCATATCGCTGGGCAGCTGATTCTGTTTGGCCTGATACTGGGCCGTCGTTTGTGCCACCAAAGATTTACTCTCCTCGGCGGCCGCTGCACCTGACTATTGAGTGTGATCAAAGCTGTTCCGTTTGCGCGATGTGCTCGTCGTAGACGTGAACCGATTGTAGCTGGTCGTGTAGAGCGTTTAGCTTATCCTGCAGCTGCGAGATGCGGCGGAAGACTTGCTCGATCTCCTCGAGATCCTTACTAACCTGTTGCTCCTTATCGCGTAGCGTGTCGTTCAATCTGAAATTGAAAGGGGTTGATTGAAGATATGATTCAATGGCAATTAATGACTCGTGACTATGGCGAGACACTGTGAAAACCACGCGGTTCTTGCTGTTATAGATATCTATACATCCACACAAAGATCTAAAGATCTCTGTTTTAGATATATTTATGGGGGGGTCGAAAAAGTTATTCCTCTTGAAAAGCTGAAGTTTTCAATGTTCTTTTAGTGCGCATATATATATTTCACTATATATATATAAGATCCACTGGGTTTTGGCCTCGGGGCTGTGGCTGCGAAGATTTCCGTGAAAATGAATGCTGCCGTCCGGCTACAAGAGAGTTTTCTAAATGAAAATGCCTCCGAGCGGGCGAGCACATTTTTTCTTGGGCCAGGCAATTTTCTTCGAAATTCGAAAAAGATTTTTCGTACATTGCTCATAATTCGAAATTGCCTTGATCTCAATAGAGGCGAAAAGAGAGGAAAACTTAAAAGCTACCGAAAGGAAAATAAATGAAAATACTGCTCTTGGACACGCACAACATTTAAAATATATATATATCTTGTTTTTGTTATTACTGTTTTTGTTGCCCTGTGTGTATATATTTTAAAGTCGGCGCATGTTTAAATTAATCTTTCCCGCATTTATTTATGTATGTCTTATTATAACCTGTGCATTTTGGCCCCAGACATGCTGACGTCATTTGGGGCGTTGCATTCAGCGTGAGATGACTAGGATCGCTCCCAAATCAAGATTCAATTCAATTTCCGTCTGTATTCCATATTTCCAGCACATGACGCATACGCCCTGTGAGCCGAATGGCAGAAATACATTCAATTTGAACAACAAGTGTTTTTAGCACTTGCACTTGGCATGGAATGACGGGATTCGTTAATGGAACTCTCTTCTTCGTTCGTCTGATGCCCTTTTTACAGCCAACGAGAACTGAACTAAAATGCGGCCCCAAGATGAGGCCAAGTCAAATACATTTGGCTTTGGGCCAAAAAAGAACTGCCCCCGAGACGAGACTCGGCCGAAAGAAACAAATTCTAAAATCTAATTGTTAGAAAGCTGAGCAAAAATTTTTGGGTAACGGAAATACACGCGATACACTATTATAAACTAGCCAGAATTATTTCGGCGTCATTTTTCGCACCCAACAAAATATATATCGAACTCGAAGTGAATTCTCAATGTTGTTTGGGTTGCCGCCATCGCTAAAGCTATTGCCACCCGACAATATGAAAATTATTTTTTCCTCTGCGCTATTTTCAGTCGACCGGCTGCCATTTTGTACAGATTAACGATTTAAATTTAGTGCATGGCTTTAATTTAAATGGCAAAATATATGCGAGAAATGCCGCTGCGATAGAACCGAGTGAAAGTGAAAGGCAGCCGTGTTGCGGGAAAAATACTAAGGAAAACAATTAGTAAAATGTTTGCTGCAACAGAGTTTGATCAATTTTCATTTTTTTGGGGCAAGAGGAATGTGTAATCAGACGATAAGCATTCCGGCATTTCTATTTCTGTCGCCTTGACTACGTCATCGTTTCAACGCATGCGAATCGTACGTATTTCTCTTTTCTCTTTAAATCAAAACAACGACCCTGGACAGGTATGTATGAGGTGTATGAGGTATGAGTACCAGGGACCGCAGACCTCAAACCTCAGACCGGTGTTGTGGCGACTGTTTTGCATACGCTCTTGAAGGGGTTCCGGGGTTCGAGTCTCTTTCTGTGCGATGACTTAATCATGTCTACTCCACCAAGTAGTATTTTCGTATTAAAAAAAAAGAAATCACCTTTTTGCTTTTCACGACGTTAACTAACAAGTGCGTAAGAAGTCACTGGCAATTAGCTAGAATCTCAAATTGCTGCCGCTGTCTTAAGTGTTGGCCTCAACTCTCTCTTTCACACCTCCCCGTCGTCTTGGGCCGGGAGGCAGAAGTGTGGCTCAACTTGTTGGACTTTTCCCAGCTATCCGCTTGAATTTTTTCACGAAACTCAAGCAGATGCTGTAAAAGGAACTCTCTTTTCGATTTTTCCGGTACGACTCTCGCTCGTTACGTATACGCCTGGTAATCCACAAGGCGGCGTTCGAAACTTCATCATGAAAATAAAAGAAATTCAAAGATACTGTTGTTGGGCCGAAAAAAATCAAAGAAAATCCATTGCCATACATCTCTCTCTATATATCTTGGAGGGGCCTTTGCTGCTTCTCTGGTTTTTACTACTTCTTAGTTAATTAATTTGATTTAAAAATATGCGTATATGTATTTGCGGTCGCTCGTTCGTTTTGCTCTTTCATTTAGTCTCCAGCCATCCAGTTTTGAGAAGCACGTCCGCTTGCAACTAACTCTAAATAAAAACTGATTCGAAATATTCTCAGACCGCTCGCTGGCTGGCGGCGCACGCAAAAAAAAAAAAAAAATTTGCCAAAAAAAATACAAATAACAAAAACTTTTCAGTTCCTCGCACTTCGTCTTTCGTCGGCTGTCGATCGTTAATCGTTAACAGCGCCCGAAGGCGGCACGGAAATAAAAGAACGAAAGCTGCTTAAAGCCCCAACTCACCACACTTGGGGGGGGGAATAGGAATAAAATGGGGGCAAAATAGTGGCGGTGAGGTTAATTTAAAAATTAATATTGCTAAAATGCGCTTGGCATTGAAAGCGGGCTAAAAGCAAACGAACTCGTCAATAAAAGCTGACAGGGAGAGGGTACTCGTTTCCAGAGAAATAAAAGCAAGGGCTGATTGATAAAGCTATAATGCATTTCGCCGGTTTAGATAAGAAAAAGCCGGCTATAAAATACAATTAAAGAGAGAGGGAGAGAGATTGTGAGAGATTGTGAAAGAGCAGCACGCTTGGCAGGCGGAATGGAACAAGCAACGGTAACAGCGCTCTGTTAACGCTTAACAGTGGCAAAAAATAAACTTATTATTACCCGATTACCTCATTTGGGCAACATTTTTATTATCATTTGTTTTGCTTCTGTTGTCGGCCTGTGATTTTCTCTATTTTTTATTATTATTTATAAATGACAGATTGCTAATGCAAATGCATATGCAAATTTGCTGCTTAAATTTTGGTTTGTTTTGCTGCTGGAAGTAAAAGTTGCGATGATTCAGTCATAGTTCCATTACCATTCCATTTAAATGAATTTGCACACATGGCTTCTCGTTTTACCTTTACTTTTTTTTGTATTTATTAATTTTTAACGTTTCTCAACGATGAAGTCACCCAAACACGACGAGTCTAGCAAAAAAATAATTTTCACTTGCCATTTTATTTACTTATTTTTTTTTTATGATTTTCAACAGTTGTTTACATTTGCTTTGCTTATTTGCCAGTGAGAATGATCTCTCTCTCTCTCTCTCTCTCTCTTGAGAATTTCTTGAAATATATCTGAAGATAAATTTAAGCAAAAATCAAAATATTTGCTAATGAAGTTAATTGTTGACTTGGCACACACGAAATGCCGGCAATTGTTATAAATAAATTATTAAATCCCCAAGAGGCTTACGCAATATTTAATGTCTTTCGCTGATTAGATTTTTGCATGTCGAAAACATGTTGTATTTATATCTCAAGTGTGTAAATGCATTGAAATTTTTGCGTCGCACTTTAAGGATATATAATATAGATATATCTCAGTTGTGACTATATAATTATCGATGACATGCCGCCTGCCGTTCGGAGGTATTTATTAGATCATTCTTTTCGGCATGATGATGGCATAGTTTATTTGCTCAGTTTTTGGAGAGTCGCATTTGAAAAATTAAAATAATAAAAGGAAGAAATCGATCAAGGAAATCGAGTTATAAATACAAATATTTCATGCTTCATCGATCCAGAAATATAATCATTTGACAACCTCCTAATGAAGGCAATAAAAGTGGCAATTTCTTTCAGGAAGTGTTCATAAAACAAATTATTAACTGTGTCAACAATTAAATAATATATTTGATATATGAAAGACGTCGCTTTTTTTTTGGCTGCCGTCAAAACATTTATCTTTCCACGGGCTATAAGCCTTCCAAAAACTTACGCACATTGCGGTTTAAGAAAATGCTCGGAAAATATTATAAAACAGCTGTTGCTGCTCGTCGCCCCTGCTGCTGTCAAGAAAACAACAAATTGGGTGTAAAAATAAAACAAAATAGACTGAGCACACACAGAACACAACAAAAAAGAAAAGTGGGGGCATACCCATGAAAATTGTGTCAGCGAGAAAGGCCAAAAGGGAGAGCTAACCCAGAAGTGTGTCTACGTGATCAGATCTTCGACGTTGGGTGTGGTGAGTTCTGCGGTCTGTCAACATGCAAGAATGTTGCGGCAACATGTTGCTGGCAACTCTTGGCACGTGATGGCAACAACTGCTGGTGATTAGCGAATGAAAATCCGAAAGATTCGGTGAAAGAATATACGCCAACAAAAGAATTGGCATATTGGCACAGATTTTAGCTTGTTCTAGCGCCAGGCAATAATATAAAAATACATATATATACAACAAGTATTTCCGCAAAAGCACGTTGAAAGAATTCGATCGACGGCGCTTATCAAGTCACAAAAGCGGGAAGCGCCAAAGCACATAGAAATGTCTGCGCTATCGCCTTTGATAAGGCCGAAAGCTTTGGCACAGTTTATCAAGAACGGGATAGCCCCTGTTAAAACAAAAAAAAAAGGAAAAACAAAACAAACGGAATAAAAATAGCCATAAAGAGTTTTCCCCTTAGAATATTATAGAATCTATTCCCAGAACTATTATTAAAGGCTTAATGTTTTCCTTTTTTATTTTCGAAGTAATGGAGAGATGAGAGCGACGTTAAAAATACATCAAAGCCCCGGCTTACGTAACGCACACACCACAATACAACAATAACAACAACAACAACACACCAACAATCGTCCACAACGAAGCGTAACAGTTGGTCTGACGTCAGTTTTGCGGCTCAACAATAACAATAAGATGGCATTTCGAGGGCCGAACAAGTCAAGCAACCTAAGCTGAGCCGGACAAAAAAATGTCTTTTAGAGCAATAATTAAAAAAAAAAAAAAAACTATGAACGCATGAAGAGCCTCCCTTTTAAAGTGGTTCCATTGAGTGAATCACAGTAGAGTTCTGGAGAATTTATTCAACTGTTGCTTTCTCAAAGAATTTCTCTATATAACTTTGAAAACCTAGAAGTATCTTAATAGAACTATTATATAAATAAATAAAAGAAACGCAAAGCGAAGATCCAATGATTAGATATTCAACTGTAACCAGCTAAATTCTCTCAATTGGCATTAATTTTCATTAGACAACAAGTTTGGCAGCCTTCCGATAATATATGCAGCAAGCCAATTCAATTTCCGGAATTAAGCGTTTCGATCACAGAGAGAACTTTTTGTATTTTGTTTTGGGGTTTGGGTTCCCCAAGTCACGCTCAGTTAAACCTGTAATATCTGGGTTTGGGTAATTGTTTTGGGTACTCACTTGGCTTGTTGTTCCACTAACTTATCCACTTTGGCCTGTATGGCCTCCGCCGAGGGTTTGTGTACTTCCCCAAGGAATGTGAGGATGGATTTAGAGAGCGCCTCGATTTCTTTATGTGATGATTTAAGTTGATTTGATTCTTCACGTAATTCCTGTCGGAAAGGAAAAGGAAAGAGAATTATTAGAAAATGAAATATTAATTGATTAGTTTCTTTCCCCCTCTTCAATTTCTTTACCAGTTTCTTTTAGGAAGGTCAACATTGAATTTATTGGAGCTTGAGGTTAGCTTCGATCTATCACAACTTTTTAAACTTAAAAATTAATTTGAACTAAGAAACTGAAACTATAATAAATAAATCTAATTTATAGTCTCATTTGGAGAGACAAAATAAAAAACCTTTACTTTTTTTTCTTTGCTTTGTTTATCTACGGAGTGTTTGAAGTTCTTATTTTATTTTTGGTTCGTTATCGCTGGATCCGTCTTTATATGGCGGCACATGTATGACAACATCGTTAGTTGATATGGTCGGGGGCCTAGCTTTTATGGCTGAAAATTGCTTAATTGAAATGAACTTCAAAGTCTGTCATTAATTTTCTTTAGCAGTTATTTTGTACTATTTATAGTTGTACAAATCGAAAATAAACGCCAGCCTATAACGCTTTAAACAATGATCTCACCCAATAGCAAATCACATTCAAATCATTTGCTGATAAGTAATGCGAAAGTGTGCATTACTGGTTCCACTAAATCACTTGCCACCTTGAAATTGTAAAACTACATTAAAATAATAGAGAGAATGTGTAAATTCTACACTTCTATGGGTCATCAATCATCGTGGGACTGGTTCTCTTCTGTTTTGAAATCAAAACAAAAGTCTAAAGAAACTGAAAGTTAAAATTGTTGTTTAGTCTTTTTCGGTTGATTGCTGTGATTTAGTGGCTTTCCGTGTGCTAATCATTCAAAAACACACAGTCCAAAGTCATTAAATCAATTTTGGAGCTGCCCCAAAGCCACAGCTCAGCTGGTTTTTAGCTTTTTTTTTTGCTGTGAAGCTCAGCACAGAGAGCAAGAAGAGAGCGGGCTCCAAAACTAAGAGAGCGCAAGCTCCAATCCCCAACGTGACCATGAACTTGATGTTGCGGCATGGTTCCGATGACTATTATACATATATATATATATATATCTGAGACTCTTACATATGGTTGCGTATTGGTAAAAATATTTGACAAACATAAGCCCCCAAGGGAGGGCGGTTTTGCCATAACGAAACTAAATGAATGAATGGCTGTCGCATACATCACATAATATATATAGACAAAGATACAAATTTAGATTGCGTACAGCTAGAAAAAAACGTGGTTTACTATAGAAATACCGAGTTAATTACAAGAAATTTACTGTTTTTATTACAATTAAAACAATTATAAGATTTGGAATTATTGGAAATTAAAATTTGATAACTACAAAATTAAAAAAAAAAAATTTAAGTTTATTAATTTTAAATAGAGCATGCATATTTATTAACCTAACAAAATCTAACATGGAACATCTTTCCGAATCGAAATTAATGCTTTTTTGGGTGAGTTATGGGATTTTAAAATTGGACTTGTCAAAAATTGTCAAATAAAAATATAGATAAATATCGACTCAAAGAATGGTATTATAATTTTAGTCAGAAGCTTAAAACCCTATGAAGGAAACGTTTCCGACCCTATATATATATATTCTTGATCAGCATCTACAGTGAATAAATCTAGCCATATCCCAACAAAATTTTTTTGTAAATTTTTTTTCATATTTTTTAAGGATTAAAATTTTATAATTCAAATTTTCAAAAATTGGAAAAATTTTTAAATTTTTAAAATTATAAATTGAGTATGCAGATTTATTAATCTAACGAAAACTAACATGGGACAGCTTTCCGAATTAAAATAAATGAATTTTTGGCTTAGTTATGAGTTTTTTAAGCTTTGATTCGTAGAAAAAATTGTCATAAATATATGGATATGGCTGCCCGAAGTAAGTTTCCTTTCTTCTAAATCTTTAAATATATCTTGCTGTCTATTAAAGTGCATCTATGATTAAAGTATATAATTAAAGTATATAATATATATATGTATAACTGGAAAATCCCTGTGAACACATGTCCCCAAAAACTCACCTGAATGGCATGCTTCGTATCTTCCAAATGACGACGCGATCTTACAGTTGGATCGACATTGCGGAACTTATCCTCAATGCGACCAAGTGCCTTTTCCCAGGCGTGCAGGCTATTCTCGAAACCGTCCCAGTGTTCGGCCAACTGTTGCAGATTGTCGCGTCGCTGCTCCAAGCTGCGTACCAGATCCTGCCACAGGCGGTTCAAGGCGGCGTTATCCTGTTCGATTAACTGACGATTCCGGGCGTCCGCCTGGCGGATGAGGGCTTGGGCCTGTTGGTTGACGAGCGTCAAGTCGCTGGTCTGGCTCTGTAAACAACAATTTCGATTTTTGAATGTCACTTGAGTCTGACGTAACACCGATTCCTGAATCGCGATTTATGTTTAGTAGTAAATATATATAACGTATTAACTTAATTATAGCGAATATTTAGGTATTGTGAACAGGGCGATGTATATTGTAGTGTGTTAGACGCTGTTTGAACTTTGACATATGAGACTAAGTTCTTATTGAAGGAGAAAGAGTCAAAAGGCAAGCCCTGCTTAAATCGTATAAAATTTTATAGATTTTTCACACTCTCACACACACACACTACCTCAAGTGTAGCCTCCTTTTGTTGGTTTTTTATTTTATTTAGTTGTATTTCTTTCTTTTTTGGTTTCTCTTATAGATTTCAATGGCTGGTGACGTTAGCCGTTTTTTTTGTTGTTGCTTTTCGATATTGATGTCTATCTGGCTTTTGCCTTGATTTTATTTATTTGCTATTTATTTGCCACTTTGTTTTTGTTTCTCTGTTTTATTTGTATTTTCGTTGTTCAAGCACATGGCATTTTGTATTTCTTTTTTCTATATACATATATTAGAACGGCGACGAACGAAACGAGTAATTCAAATTTAACAAAGCTATTTAACAATTGCTTCTCTTTCTTTCCTTCTGCTCTCTTTCATATATAATATATATGCGCGATTTGCGAGTATAAAACAAAAACACGCTGGCAACCGCACAGATAAACGTCTCAACTGGAAGTGAACTCGAACAAACTCAACACAAAACCCCAAACGGGCCCCAAAGGCAAATAAGCACGAGTTAGAATTCACTCCTGCTGCTGCTGCTGTTGCTCTCCTCCATTCTGTTTCTCTTAAAAGACCAAAGAGAATCAAAAAGCCGGTCGGAATTCAGGCAAACACGTTTTTCCTTTGACTTGGCAGCACTTTTGGCAATATACATACATACACACATACATATTTATTGGGCGGGCGTGGGCGGTCAGAGTTGGGCTTTGCACATATCACGTATACGCCACCGTGAACACGTCACTCTCGCTCTCGCTCTCTCCCTCTCACTTAATTGTTGCCTCTCTCCAGCCGGCATGCCCTACAAACCAACCACAACAACAACAAGCTTGGAGCTACAACAACCAAACAGCTGTGAGTCCAGAGTGAGTAGAGTGCGACAGAGAGGAGAGAGTGGGGAAACCTTCAAGGGCCAATGGTGCTCTTAAAGCTCGCTCATCAAAAAATACAAAAAAAAAGAAGGAAACACTTAACATGTGTTTGCGACCATACCAAAGTATCTCACTCAGAAACCAGGGCTATACAAAAGAACAAAAATAAAAAAGATAACACTTTACATGCACATTTACTTCAGAGTTCTACTTTAAAATGCTGAATTTGCAAAATAATTAAAAAATTGTCTCCGCGAACCTAAGCCTTCTTATATTGTTTCCAAGAAATATAATAGCAACCTGTAAATCATGTATACAAGTCACGTCTTATTTCTTATGCATAGCTTTAACAAGTTAATGAGCCCTTAAAAATTTTGTATGTTTGGTATCTGAACTTCAGAAAACTGATCAGCAAACAATGTGAATTATAACTTATTATAAAGATAGTAATACGATTCAAACATTTAGAAATTTATCTATCAAATTGAATTTATGTTTCAAGCATTTACTAAATAACTTTAACAAACATTCTATAACTCATTAATTATTTCAGCTAGAAGTTTAAAAAATTATAAGATTTAAATCGCAAAATAATTAAATCTTTAAAAAATAATATTTATGGATTAATTCTAACTCGAAAAAGAGGATTTTTTAGCGACCCCTCAAAGGTTAAGCTGCCTAACCATCCCTGGCTTAAAACTGGTTGCTTGATACAGTGTTGCCGATGATGTCATGAGCTTAATTCGTTCGGCGACAACGACAGCAAAAAACAAAAACAACAACCACAGCTGATATATATAGTATTTGTTGTATTTGTTGAGCATAAAATTCGAGCTTGTGCCTTGAATAATTATAATCAAAGTGGAAGTTTGACAGGCTGAACGATAAGCTAGCGCACAACTTGTGGGTTAAAAGTTTAATGAGTTCTCAAGGTAAAAGCTTACGAAAGTAAACAAATGGGCACATACATATAGCGTGTTCAATAGTTGAACTATTAGCTTAAACCAAGAGAGTACCCCACTCCAGTCATAAGAGAAGAGAGCTCTTAAACAGAGGCATTCTCTGGCAAAAAGTGCAATCGAAAGTGAGTGTGTTGTTGCCTTTGCCGGCCGGCAAGACCATGAGAATAAAATATATTTGTTTGTGTGTGTGTGTACAGCGGCAAAGCCAAAATGCATTTGGATTGAGTGCCGACACGCCATAAAGTTGCTCTCAAGTGGATATATTCGCACTTGTCCACACACTCACATTTGTGTGGTTGTGTGTTCGCCGTTTGTGGCACATCCTTGTGCAATGTGTCATTTTTGGGGGAAAAACAGGTCTTTCGGTTGCACACTTATATGAACAAAGCGGCCAGCCTGAATATGCGTAGATATTTAAAGAACTTATGGTATTGTCAACACAATCTATGCAGAATATCATTAAGGTATCTTTTTTATTAGAGAATGTATAATTTAAGAATTGCTATTCATTCATGCCATATTGGAAATCATATGCACATATGTGCGAGATTTGTGTTAGAACAAATTTCAGAGCAAGCCTAACAATAATCAGTAAGCAAGTATCTATAAGCAGTAAGTGGCTATGATCAATAAGTAACTATGACCAGTAAAAAACTATGAGCAATACGTAGCTCTGAACAGTAAGAATCAATAATAACTAAGATCAGTAAGTAACTATGAACATTAAGTATCTCTGATAAGTAAGTATCTATGAACGTTAAGTAACTCTGATCAGTAAGTATCTATGACGAGTAAGTAACTATGACCGTCAGTATGTATGATCAGTTACTAACTTTGAACACTTATAAACAATGACTTGCAACTTTTGCAACACAACACTTTTCTGAGACATGGCCGGCAGCACTCACTTCGTTCCGGGGATGTTAAAACAAGTTGGGAATCATATGCACAGATGTGCGAGATTTGTTTTGGAACAAATTTAAGAAAAAGCTATTTGCATGAAACTATAGAGTTATTCTTCTATCTAATTTTACAAGTTCATAAATCGGGGCATGCCGAATCGGTGGACCATATTTATACATATATAGCTGATATAGGAACAATCGGACGATTTATAGAACTATGATCAGTAATTAAGCTATGACCAGTAATTACCTCTGAACAGTAAGTATCTATGACGAGTGAGTAACTATGAACAGTAAGTATCAATGAACACTAAGTATGTATGATGAGTTACTAATTTGGATTACTAATAAACAATGACTTGCAACTTTTGTAACACAACACATGTCTGAGACGTGGCCGGCAGCAGTCACTTCGTCCGGGGATGTTAAAACAAGTTGGGAATCATATGCACAGAAGTGCGAGATTTGTTTTGGAACAATTTTAAGAAAAAGCTATTTGCATGAAACTATAGAGTTATTCTTCTATCTAATTTTACAAGTTCATAAATCGGGGCATGCCGAATCGGTGGACCATATTTATACATATATAGCTGATATAGGAACAATCGGACGATTTATAGAACTATGATCAGTAATTAAGCTATGACCAGTAATTACCTCTGAACAGTAAGTATCTATGACGAGTGAGTAACTATGAACAGTAAGTATCAATGAACACTAAGTATGTATGATGAGTTACTAATTTGGATTACTAATAAACAATGACTTGCAACTTTTGTAACACAACACATGTCTGAGACGTGGCCGGCAGCAGTCACTTCGTCCGGGGATGTTAAAACAAGTTGGGAATCATATGCACAGAAGTGCGAGATTTGTTTTGGAACAATTTAAGAAAAAGCTATTTGCATGAAACTATAGAGTTATTCTTCTATCTAATTTTACAAGTTCATAAATCGGGGCATGCCGAATCGGTGGACCATATTTATACATATATAGCTGATATAGGAACAATCGGACGATTTATAGAACTATGATCAGTAATTAAGCTATGACCAGTAATTACCTCTGAACAGTAAGTATCTATGACGAGTGAGTAACTATTATCAGTAAGTATCAATGAACACTAAGTATGTATGATGAGTTACTAATTGGATTACTAATAAACAATGACTTGCAACTTTGTAACGCAACACTTTCTGAGACGTGGCCGCAGAAGTCACTTCGTTTCGGGATGTTAGAACCTGTTGGAATCATAGCACAGATGTGCGAGATTTGTTTTGGAACAAATTTAAGAAAAAGCTATTGCATGAAACTATGGATTATTATTCTATCTAATTTACAAGTTCATAAATCGGGCATGCCAATCGGTGGACTATATTTATACATATATATAGCTGACATAGGAGCAATCGGACAATTTATAGAACAATGATTAGTAATAAGCTATGGCCAGTAATAACTATGATCAGTAATTAACTCTGAACAGTAAGTATCTATGACCAGTAATAAGTATGATCAGTATGTATCTATGACCAGTAAGTATGTCTGAATGAGCAGTTACTAACTTGAACACTAATAAACAATGACTTGCAACTTTTGTAACACAACACATTCCTGAGACTTGGCCGGCAGCAGTCACTTCGTTCCGGGGATGTTAAAACAAGTTGGGAATCATATGCACAGATGTGCGAGATTTGTTTTGGAACAAATTTAAGAAAAAGCTATTTGCATGAAACTATAGAGTTATTCTTCTATCTAATTTTACAAGTTCATAAATCGGGGCATGCCGAATCGGTGGACCATATTTATACATATATATAGCTGATATAGGAACAATCGGACGATTTATAGAACTATGATCAGTAATTAGGCTATGGCCAGTAATTACCTCTGAACAGTAAGTATCTATGACGAGTGAGTAACTATGAACAGTAAGTATCAATGAACACTAAGTATGTATGATGAGTTACTAATTTGGATTACTAATAAACAATGACTTGCAACTTTTGTAACACAACACATTCCTGAGACTTGGCCGGCAGCAGTCACTTCGTTCCGGGGATGTTAAAACAAGTTGGGAATCATATGCACAGATGTGCGAGATTTGTTTTGGAACAAATTTAAGAAAAAGCTATTTGCATGAAACTATAGAGTTATTCTTCTATCTAATTTTACAAGTTCATAAATCGGGGCATGCCGAATCGGTGGACCATATTTATACATATATATAGCTGATATAGGAACAATCGGACGATTTATAGAACTATGATCAGTAATTAAGCTATGGCCAGTAATTACCTCTGAACAGTAAGTATCTATGACGAGTGAGTAACTATGAACAGTAAGTATCAATGAACACTAAGTATGTATGATGAGTTACTAATTTGGATTACTAATAAACAATGACTTGCAACTTTTGTAACACAACACATGTCTGAGACTTGGCCGGCAGCAGTCACTTCGTTCCGGGGATGTTAAAACAAGTTGGGAATCATATGCACAGATGTGCGAGATTTGTTTTGGAACAAATTTAAGAAAAAGCTATTTGCATGAAACTATAGAGTTATTCTTCTATCTAATTTTACAAGTTCATAAATCGGGGCATGCCGAATCGGTGGACCATATTTATACATATATATAGCTGATATAGGAACAATCGGACGATTTATAGAACTATGATCAGTAATTAAGCTATGGCCAGTAATTACCTCTGAACAGTAAGTATCTATGACGAGTGAGTAACTATGATCAGTAAGTATCAATGAACATTAAGTAGGTATGATGAGTTACTAATTTGGATTACTAATAAACAATGACTTGCAACTTTTGAAACACAACACATTCCTGAGACTTGGCCGGCAGCAGTCACTTCGTTCGGGGATGTTAAAACAAGTTGGGAATCATATGCACAGATGTGAGAGATTTGTTTTATAACAAATTTAAAAGAAAGCTATTTGCATGAAACTATGGATTTATTATTCTATCTAATTTTACAAATTCATAAATCGGGGCATGCCGAATCGGTGGACCATATTTATACATATATATAGCTGATATAGGAACAATCGGACGATTTATAGAACTATGATCAGTAATTAAGCTATGGCCAGTAATTACCTCTGAACAGTAAGTATCTATGACGAGTGAGTAACTATGATCAGTAAGTATCAATGAACATTAAGTAAGTATGATGAGTTACTAATTTGGATTACTAATAAACAATGACTTGCAACTTTTGTAACACAACACTTTTCTGAGACTTGGCCGGCAGCAGTCACTTCGTTCCGGGGATGTTAAAACAAGTTGGGAATCATATGCACAGATGTGCGAGATTTGTTTTGGAACAAATTTAAGAAAAATCTATTTGCATGAAACTATAGAGTTATTCTTCTATCTAATTTTACAAGTTCATAAATCGGGGCATGCCGAATCGGTGGACCATATTTATACATATTATAGCTGATATAGGAACAATCGGACGATTTATAGAACTATGATCAGTAATTAAGCTATGGCCAGTAATTACCTCTGAACAGTAAGTATCTATGACGAGTGAGAAACTATGATCAGTAAGTATCAATGAACATTAAGTAGGTATGATGAGTTACTAATTTGGATTACTAATAAACAATGACTTGCAACTTTTGTAACACAACACATGTCTGAGACTTGGCCGGCAGAAGTCACTTCGTTTCGGGGATGTTAGAAACTGTTGGGAATCATATGCACAGATGTGCGAGATTTGTTTTGGAAGTAAATTTAAGCTATTTTAATAAAACTATGGAGTTATTCTTCTATATAATTTTACTAGTATATAAGTCGGAGCATGGTGAATCGGTGGACTATATATATGCATATATATATAGCTGCCATTGAAACGATCGGACACTTTTAAGGAAAAAAATTATAACTTTTCCAGTTTTCACCAGATATTCATCAAATTTGATATATAACCATTATATATTAATCAAGAATTTTGTGCAAAAATTTATGAAAATCGAACTACTATATCATATAGCTGCCATACAAACGATCGTTAAAAATAGAGGAACATTCAAAACGGTGAATGTTAAATTTCAAATGCAATATTGTGATTTGTTAAACTAATAAAAACAGCCTTAACAAGTTTTCAGAGTTTGATGTTTGATTAGTTTTTCGGATTATTACTTGTTAAATAATCAGTTAATTTACTTAAATTAGTGCAATATGTTTCTCAAAACTCACCTGAACATTTCCAATGGCATGGGACAGCTTCTGTATGTTAAAGTGCAGACCCGCCAAATTCTGAACAGGCTCATCGCTGAACTTGGTGCGCTCAATGGTGGCCTTGACACGATCAATCGATTGCTGATACTCTCGCCAGCGCTCCGCCTCCTTCTCCAATTCACTTTGCTGCGTCTTGGCATTGGCCAGTGTGTTGGTCAATTTGGTTTGGAACTGTGCCAGTTCCGCGGACAGCTCCGACTGCTCATAATTGTTCAGCGAGGACCAGATCTTGTCGGCGGCCTCTTGAATCTGTTGTGGACTAGATTACGAATGGGCGCCTCGTTGCCAAAGAATATCTTGTGCTCGTCAAGATCTTGGACCAAATGCTCATAGTCGATGCCATGCTGACTGTTTTGAAGGCGCAACTCGGCTTCGTGGACCCAATCGTTGAACTTGGCCACCAGTTGCATGTACTCCAGACGAGAGTCACGGTTGTTCTTCAGGTATTTCTCACGCTCCTCGAGCTCGTGGGGGAGGGATGAGACCAGAGATCTTCCTTCGGAAAGCATTTCCAGCAACGAGCTCGGCATTCCAATTTCGGTTTTAACCCCATCATTGATCTTGTTGAATTTGTTCAGATACGACTCAATGTCCTGGCTGAGGTTCTGGTGCTTCTGCAGCTCTCGCTCCACGGACTCGGGATCACGATCCAGCAGTGGACGGGACTTGACCTCTCCCTCGTGGCTGTGTAACCAATCAAGAATCTCACTCAGATCGGCGGCCATCTTCTTGTGCGACTCCAGCTGCAGCTGATGCTTCTGGCGCTGTGACTCCACTGCCTTGCGGAGATTCTGAAGTTGATTCTTGAGGGACTGCAGCTGCTCGGTAATGCTATTCTTATCCGCAGCATTTCCTTCAGAGGCAATCTTCTGGCCCTTGTCATTAGCGGAGGCCAATAGACCCTCGCACTCCTGGATCTTGACAATGACATTGTCATACTTGTTGATCTTATCCTCCAAGCTGTCCGGAGAGTTCTCGATGTCGATAATGACATCAGTGTACTTCATGATGAAGGCAATAATCTCGTTGATCAGAGCGATAAACTGCTCGCGGAGCATCAGAAGTTGGCGGAGATGAGCCAGCTGATCCTCAATCATCTTGATCATGTCGTCCTGTTGGGTCAGAATGCTCTGCAACTCCGGCAAATCATCCATTTGCATATCACCCATCTTGCTCTTGCTGTCTTTGAGCTCCTTGAGTATGCCCTCATAGGCACCCAACAGATCCTGAACATCCTCGATTCTGGAACCAATTGGACGATTGAGTTCACGCAATTTCTGCTGAATGGTGCCCAGGAACTGGCTGCAATCGGCCAGCCTGCTCTTGGCATCCTTGTATTCTTAATGTGATCGCCCAGAGTATTCACTCGGTCATCGATGGTATTCTTGATTCTGCCATAGCGATCCTTCATGTTCTTGATATCATCGTTGAGCTTCAGCTTATCGGCATTACTCAAAGTGGGCAAGATGCTCTTACCCTGTTCAGACACATCGTTGATGAGGCCGCCCATGTTCTCAGCATTGTTGAGAAGCTTCTTGTAGTGAGCCAATTGCTCCTCCAGCACTGGAAGACTTGTGGTACGCAGCTCACCCTCGGTGGCCGTCTCCATTTCATTCAGCCAATCGCCCATCTTTTTCATCGAATCCTCGAAAGCCTTGCGACCCTGCAAGAGATCATCCAGGGACTTGCCTCTCTTTGAGCTTTCATCCTTCAGAGTCTGATAGTCGGCGGCGATTTCATCAAGGATCTGCTGAAGTGCAGCCTTATCCGGACCATCACAATCCTTCATGATATTGGCCGCTTGGCGCTGAACATCACTTAGAACACTGTCGTTGAACTGCTTGGCATCGTCATCGTACTTTCGGTTCTCCTGGATCTTCTTCTCAATCTCAGCGGAGGTTAGTGGATGATATACTGGAAGTTTTCGCACCTCGGAGATCTTAGTCTTCAGCCATTGGCGCGCCTTGTCCAAATCGTTCTCTAAGGATTTGCGAGCCTTGCTGGCCTCCAGAGCACGATCCAGTTCTGCCTTTAGTACTCCGACAAGTTACGATTCTCCGTGTTAAGATTACGCAATGCGGACTCCAGTTGGGCATATTCAGCGGGTTCTAGTTCCTGCTGCATATTGGCAACACGCTTCTCCAGCACATCGGCCAAAGATTGCTTGGCCTCGGCATCCTTCATCAGACTCTTGATCTTCTGCTGACGCGCCTCGGCATCTTTGGGCGTGTAACCCAGTGGAGTGGGTGCCTGCAGCTCTTCTATCTGCTGCTTCACCCAATTCTGGAGCTGATCGATCTCGCCCTTGGCTCCGTCCACACCCTTGTTGGTTACGTCCAGCAACTGAGCCTTGCGATCAATGCGTTTGCCCAAATCGGCAAAGCGACGATCCAGAGACTTCATTTGCTCCTCAACTTGTTGGCCATCCAGATTGCTAATCACCTCCGCAACCTGCGAGGCCTTGCCCTTGAGCTCCTGGATTTTCGGGTGTCCTTGCAGCTCGTATTCATTCTTAATCTCATTAATGGCCGCCGTTTTCTGGGCACAGTTTAAGCCGGAACCACGGTCCAGGACATCCATGCGCTTGATTAGGCTATCGAACCAGTTCTGGACATCAGCCATTCCCTGGCGATAACCATCAATTACATTTTGACCTGCTTGCTTCTTGGCAATGGCATCCATAAGCTCCGACTCGAGCTTGTCAATGTTGTCATCCAAATCGGTGTCTTCATCGCCCACTAAAATGTAATATAAATTTTAAATAATATTTAGTTCTTGTAGAGAAAAATAAATAAAATAAGATAAAAGACTTACATGATCCTGTCATTTCCAACATCAGTTGCGATCTCTTGTCACCGATGGAGTTCAACAAATCGTTCATGAAACCAATTCCTGTTGCGCTGCCTCCGGGCGCAGCTTGCAGGGACGCATCATCCAGTCGGAGACCGAGGTCTGCTGCTTCTTTACCCAATCTTGCAGCTCGGCGCGCTGCTTCTGCTGTTGCTCCAGTTCGCTAACGGATGCAGACAAGCCACCCAAGTGGGATTGCACCTACACATAAGAAAGTAGAGCATTAGGTTTGCATATTATCAACAGTTAGTAAGGTAACATATATTAAACAAGCATTTGTTAACAACTTTAGCCATGCGTAGCCCTCCACCTGATTGTCCTTATGAGTGTCATTACTCTCTTACCTTAGCAAACAGTTCGTTCAGCTTGCCCACATGAGCGCTATTCAGGCGAACTATGCGACGATAGTTGCTGACACGCTCGTGGGCAATTGGATCCAACATTGCCTCGTTTACATCACTGAGCTCAACCTGAATCTCAACTTCATCTGCGTCTTCATCCTCTTTGGTTGAGCTCTGAGTCTTTGGAGGCGGTTTCTTTTGTCAGCGGCAAGCACAAGGCATAGCATTTTTTTTGTATGGGTAATGTGCATTTTTTTACAACAGTTACGGGTCAACAGTGCGGCAAATCAACAAAAGTTAGGGCAGTGTTGGGGTGATAGGGTATGGTTAAGGGTTTAATATCAAAAAAGAACAAAACATTGGTTAGCAAATCAAAGGTAAATAAGGTATTAAGGTAAAAAGAAAGGAAAGATCGATGAAATTTGTATAGTTAAACTATTTAAAATATTGAAATGAATTAATCTACTTATAAGGAAGAATATTTCCAAAATAAATGCAAGGAAACTAATCATCTTCCTGATTATAAACTAATTGCAAACAAATACAGGATGTAATGTTTAAAGCTAAAAACCATGAGCTAACATAATCTTTCCGTTTCTTTACTTTGTATAAATGCAATCAAGTTTCAAGTACTAGATGTGATCACAAAACTACAAATTCAATTTTAAAATTAAACAAAAATTCTTTGTCCTACCTGATCCAGCAGATCTTCCAGCTTGGCGCGCACAATGAGCTCCCTTTCGGGAATGGCCTGCATGGCCGTCTCCAGCGGGGAACTGGGACGACTGATGGATGCCGTGGCTGCTTCGCAAGCCTGAACGGCTGCCGCTAGTCGGGACTTCTCGTTGTTCAACTTGTTCTGCATTTCCTGGGCACATCGAAGTTGGTTCTGAGCAAGCTCCAAGCTCGTGGCCGGAGCATCCAATTCGGTTTGGATAATTGGCTCGTATGCCTCCAGATTGCGCATGATGCTGTCTAGGGTATCCTCGTATTCCTGGAACTTGGCCAGCGATTCCAGCAAACGGTTCTTGATCTGCACTGAGGTCTGTAGCAGAGAGTTGTAGCTATCCTGGATATTCTTCAGCTGGGACTCGACAGTGGGACGAATGGTGGGAGTTGAGCTCTCATAGCGGCTTATCTGAGCCTGTCCCTTGGCATTCAAGTCATCCAAATTGGTTTGATACTTTTGAATTTCACCCAACAAAGCCTCGTGCTGCTTGATCTGTTCCTGGGTCTGCTCGCGATTCGAGATGAAGAGGGAATTGTGAGCCATTAGCTGGAACGAGATCTGCAGCAGCCACTTCTCAACATCCTGCAGACTCTGATGATAGGCATTGTAATCAACGATCTCCTGCTCCAACGCCTTGATGTGAGCCGAACAATCGTTCTTAAGCTTATCACATCGTGACTGCAGGCGATTCACTGCATCTACTTCTGTGCCCAGATCACGGGCCTCCGACTGCAGTTGCTCCAACTCGCTGCCCTTCTGCTTGAGCTCATTACCGAGCGTCTTGTAGCGTTCCAGCAATGTCTTCATTTCGCTAAGTTCACCCTTAGTTTCCGGTGCCACCTTAATGGTCTTCTCCGTCTCGTTCAGCCAGTTCTCAAGCTTATCCTTGTTGGCAGCGAAATCGTTCCAACGATTTTGGGCCTGCTTCAGATCGCTCAACTTCTGCTTGACCGCTAGACTCAAGGCATCCCAATCTTCGCGCACCTTTGTCATCAGTTCGCGAAGCTTCTCCTGCTTATCCTCGGGCGTGATATTCGAGGCCTTGGAGTAAGCATCCTGAACCAAGGCCAACAGATGCTGACCCTCGGGCAGACGGGAAGCCAAAGACTGTGGATTTGTCAAAATAAAAATAAATATAAATAAAATACAAATTTTAATAAATGTAATGGGCAGGAACTTACATTCACAGTGTCCAGTTTCTGAGCAATTATAGCGGCATCGCCATCGGTGGAGCATTCATTGAGAATCTGCTGTGCCTTTTCTATCCAGGCATCCATTTCCTTCTTGTAATTAAGGAACTCGGTGTGATCGGACAGATTCTTTTCGATCTTGGCGACCAATCCCTGAGCGGATGTCAAAAGCTTGGTATAGTTGGCCTGAGTTTCGATGGTCTGATCCCGAATGCGAGTGCAGGCACTCTGTTCCATGAGCAGCTCACAGTTATCGTTCAGATCCTCCACATTATCCTTCTCGGCCAGTACCTCCTCCAGCAATTTCTACGGAAAGAAAATGACTTTAGTTTCGAAAATCTAACATTGGTTTATAAAAGGCACATAAAGCAATTAGGCAATTAGACAAGAGTCTGTGTATAAATGATTAGCTGCAAATTGAGTAATACAAGTGATTAGCTGAAAAGTTAGCAGTGGTGATTAGTGAAGTTTTAGTAAATGATTAATTTCTCACACGGTACGAGGTATTATTCAGCTACAAATTTTGTTGTCGGTGAGTTCTACTTTACGTGCGCGCTTTGGCTATATAATATATATATTTATATATACTCGATTACATTTTTAGTACTTTTATATATTTTGGTTAGAGGTGCGTGCGACAGTTGCGAGACGAAGTCGATTTGACGAAGAAGAAATCTTACCTTGGCATTAACCAAATCTTCGGGGTTCTTGTTTTCGCCTTCCTGGGATTTGGTAACGCGCTTGCTCATCGTCTCGATCCACAAATTGATCTTATTGAACTTCTGCAGGAACGTTTGCCAGGCGGCCAGGCAGGTTTCTAAGCTGCTGCGAGCATCGCGAGACAAAGCCTGGAGAGATTCCCATTCTGCGGTGAGATGTTTGATCTCCTGAGCCACGTTGTCCTGGCCCTCACTACCGCTAGTGGCAATCACAGCCTGACTAAGCTCTTCGCAGGCTTCTAGCAGGGCTTTGCCCTCTAACGACGACGACTGAATATCACCCAAACGGTTAAGGCGGCTCTCCACTTGATCCTTCTCGCCATGGCAATCGGAACATTGCTCCACTTCGATGCGAGTGCGTCGCAACCAATCCTGCAACTCGTTATAGGCCTGCTTGTATTTGTCATGGCTGTTCACCTGGTTCTCCAGCGACTCAATGATCTTATTAACCTGCGTCTGCAGCTCATCGAATTTGCCCAGACCCGGCTGGAAATCATTCAGATCCAAGCTATTATCCTCTTTCAGGCGTTGATTGATTTTCTCAACAATGTCGCTGTGACCATTAATGTCACGCTGAATAACGCGGAATTTCTCCAGAGCAGCGCGTTTCTCACTCAAATCGTTCAAGAACTCATCACTGGCCTTTACACTCGGCTCCACATCCTCCAGCCATTCGACCAGGATCTTGTACAGCTTGAAGATCTCCTCTAATTGAGCAAGGCGGTTGGCCAGCTTCTGCCGCACATCGTTCAGATCCACAAGAAGTTTATCAAAGTCCTGCTTAAGAGTTTCGGTGTCCTCCTGAATCTTGGCAGCTCCATTCTGTTCGGTGTTCATGATTACCTTCTCCTTCAGTTCAAGAAGATAACGAAGCTTATTTTGACCAGTTTCGAAACCTTGACGAAGATTCTTAACAGTGTTCAATTTAATTTGCACTTCATTGAGGGTTCCAGGAATTTGCTCGCAATCTGCCAGTTTCTCACGGGTATTTTCGATCCAAGATTGGCACTCTTCGTACAGACTGTGATGCTGTTGATGCTCCTGGTAGTGCATCTCCAGTCGACGCATAACTTCCTTGGCAAGAGTGAGAAGAGCATTGTACTTGGTGGTAAGTTGCATAATGGCATTGCTAATCCTTGTATCGGAACAAGTCTCTAGGAGAACCTGAGCCTTCATGTTCAGATCATCCAGAGTCTTCTGCCAGTCAAAGAGAGTCTGCAGATGTCCCTGGAACTGTTCGAGCACCACCTTCTTCTGAGGCAAACTGTCCTGCAATTTGTTGTAGGATTGAACCAAAGCTTCGGTCTTGCTAAGCCATTCCAGAGCTTCGGTGTACTGATCCTGGTAGTCCGACCATTTAACAATGCCCACATCCAGGTAATCCTTGGCCTTGTTCAGCGCTTCCCTGTAAGCATCGAATTCCTCTTGAAGCAGAGCAACCTCCTGCTCGATAATTTCACAATCCTCAGGCTCGGCACTTCGGCAAGCAATCTCTCCCTGCTCCAAAGCATTCTTCAGCTTCTCGGCACCCTCGGGCAGTTCACCTTGCAGAATCTTCAGTTGATGAGTCTTCTCAGCCAAAGCCTGCTTATCTCCGGTGGGCTCAGAGCATTTGCTTAACCTTTCCTTGGCATTTCTCAGCCAGGTTGCGAACTCATTGCCAGCATCTATTAGAGATTGATAGCTCTCGATGGTGTTCTTTTGCTTCTCATACAAATCCTTGGCTTGCTTTGTAAGGTTATCGTATTTATCTGAGATTTCAGTGGCGGGAGCACCCTGCTGAAGATCAGATGCCTTGGAGGTAACAGACTGAATCATGGGCTCAAAGGATACAATATCTTGGACAATGTTGTTGGTCTGCCGGAGATTGGCCTTGCGCTCGCTAAGACCACTGCTGAGACCAGGTTGACCACGCTGAGATTTGATGATCTTTTGCTCGCATGCCTGCTGTAGTTTGGCCTCTCTGTCGGTGATCCATTGCTGCAACTGGGAGTAACTGGAACTGTAGTCGGCCCATTGAAGAAGATTGGTCTCGAGTTGCACCTTAGCAGTAGACATTTTCTTCACCAAACGATCCCATTCGGTTTGCAGTTCCTTCATTTCATTGTTGATAGCATCGCGACCATCAGAGCGTGTGTTTCGGATAATTTTCTCGCCATTATTGATGGCCGTGTGTACTAAATTCTGGCCAAACTCACGGTTACGAATCAGATCCTGAATCTGCTCAAGGCGTCGTTGGAGAGCCTCCTTGGAGCCAGCTCCCTCGCCGGCCGATTGAATTGTCGCCTTTGCATTGGCTATCCAATCCTTGGCGGACTTCATGTTGGCGTCGTACTCACGATGCTGATCACGATTGGTTTCCACCTTTTTGAGGACATCTTTGGCTAGATTAACTTGTACTTGATAGACCGAACCCAAATGTCTGAGCTGATTGTTCACGTAGGTATCGAGATGAGACTTTAGAAGACTGGCAGCAGATGCATTGAACTTATCGATGTCTTCCTTGCCCTTCTCTAGCCGGGACATCACATCCCTCATATCGGCCACCTGCTTCTCCTTGTCAGGCAAATTGGGGCACAAGTTCAGCTTATGGTTCTTCACCAAGATATCAATCTGTTGCAGCCACTCCATCAGGCGTTCGTACTCCTCCTTATAGGCTCGCCATTGGACCATGGTGACTTCAAGGTTTTCCTTCTGCTGATTGATTTCGCGGAACAAGCTTTCAAAACTGTCTCGCAGGGCACGGATATCATTTCGGATAATCTCCTGGCCAGGAGATGAGGTGCTCGCAAGCACAACCTCACCAGTGTGCACTAGATGCTCAACCAGAAGTTCACCCTGGGCCTGCTTGTTCAGCAGAGCTTCAGTGGCTTGGACTGCATTCTCAATGGCCAACTTATCGCTCAAGCTGCTCTGCTTCAAAGTGGGGAACTTCTCACGGGCACGACCAATCCAGCTACCCAAATCATCGTAGGCCTCCTTGAACAAACGATGGTCCCTGTACTGATCCTGGCGATCAGAGAGCAGTTTCTGGGACTTGGCGAACAGTTCATCGAACGTATCGAGCACCTTTTGAGCCTGGAACGCAGCCTGACTCTGTTGGCCACTTGCAATCATTTCCTTGGCTTGAATCTTTAGGGCATCCACATCGATCTTCTCCACGCGTACCTTCTCCTCCGTAGATTTGACACGATCCAGCTGAGCTCTCTTTTCCGTCATTGTGGTCTGATGTTCACTTAATTCTTTGAGTAAACCATCCAGCCACTCGTTGAACTTGCGAACAGTCTGCACCTGATCCAAGAATCCAGACCATTGGGTGATGGAATCATCCAGATTCGATTTAACATCCATAATGCGCAAGGCAATGCTAGACCAGAGATCCTGAAGATCAGATAGTTCCTTGTTGATTGCCTCGTGTCCGGCGGGTGCTGTGTTGGCCAGAACATGCTGAGCCTGCTCCAGGATCTTTAAGACACGAGCAGAGCCTTCGTCCTTTAGCAAAATAACATCTTGAATGGTGGCCAGTTTCTTATCCAATTCTTTTGGACTCATTGATGACATGTCCGAGCAGTAATCGAGCTTCTCCTTAATATCATTGATCCACGAGGAACAATCAGAGATGGAATTGTCGAAATCTTCATGGGAAGTCACGTACTGTTGCCAACGATTGTTGAGCTCCTTGACCTTATGGAAGATCTGCTGGTACTTGGTTACCAACTCGGGTCCGGAAGTACGATTAGAAGTGGGTCCCTTTAGAAGTGTTTGAGCCTTTTCTGTAACGTTATCAACCTCCAGTTCCTTGGCACGCACATCTCCTTGCAGAGCCTTCAAAGCATCCAACTGAGCACGCTTCTTGGGCAAATCCTCCTTAAGATCAATGGCATGCAAGTTGTTGTCCGTGTCGCGAATCCAAGCCAGACACTGGTCACGCAACTGTTCATACTCCGACCAGTGCTGCAGCCGTGCCTCAATGGCCTCAATGGTGGTGGTGATGGCGGCAAGGAGTCCCTCCCACTCTTGTTGTGTAGTGTCGATCTGGGACTTTATGTTGACCTGACCCACATCCACTGTACCCGGAATAACCTTTTCGCCCAAAGCCCTCACTTGATCAACTCGAGGGAATTCGTCGGCCAAACTGGCCTTCAGATTCTTTAGACGATCTAGGTTCGTGTGCAGTGAGATCTGTTCCAAATCCAAATCGCCCCAGTAGTGAACCGTATTCTGAGTGGCATCAATAAACTCTTGGGCATCCATAACGGCCTTGGAGTACTGCTGATGGGCACTGACTATGCCCTCGTAGCGTTCCACGTAGTTCTGGGCACGCTTCTGGAGCTTTCCAAACCGATCGGCAATATCCTTGAGGATTTGATCCACGAGATCGGTCTTTTCAGGTAAATTAGCTGCAATCTCCTGAAGATTACCCACCTCCACCTGGTGATTATTGATGTCATTCAGGATGTCTCGATAGGCTTGCAGTTTGGTGCGCTTTTCATCCAGCGTGGTCTTTAGTTCGATTTCGGCTGGAAGAGCATTCTCGGTTTCATCAAGCCAACTCTTCAGACTGTCAGCGATTTCATCAAAGCCTGACCATTTGGCAATCTTGTCCTGAATCTTCCTTGCCGTGCTGGCAATGTTGTCAAACAATTGATCGAAAGTCAGATCATCCAACTGACTGCGAATGGCTTCACGTCCTTCGGTTGCTGTGGATCCGTAGCACTTTTCGCCTAACTCAACGGTGCTGTTGAGCAGCTGAGTAGCTGTTGGCTGCTGTGCCAGGAGCTCCTGAATGACCATTTGTTTCTTCAAGAGATCGTCACGAGATGCCACCGATGACAAGTCACTGCAGTCGTCGAAACGTGCCTGGGCATTGGCTAACCAATCTGCACATTGCTTGTATTTATCATTGAAGTGGCCATGATCCTGGACAGCCTGCTCACATTTCTTGAGAATTTCCTTGGCCGTGGCTTGAATCGATTGGAATCGGGATGAGACCTGCTGCACATTCACTGCAATCCTCGTTTCACCAGAACTCTGTACCAACTCCGAGGTATCGTCCTTCATCTTGTCAAAGTCTGCTTCGTTTTGACGCAGGCTCTGAGCCAGGGATTGGAAGCGATTCAATTGGTCTTCCTTCTCCTCAAACGATGATTTCAGATTGTAGTTCTTGAGAGCATTCTCCGCTTCGCCCAACCAATTGATGAGGCGATCTAAGTTAACTTCGTAGTCATTCCATTGCTGGAGACGGTTTTCCAAGCCGCTCTTAACGTCACTTAAAGATGCACCGAACTTCTCGAAATCAGCATGCAAGTTTGCCAAGTCGCGGGCCATCGCCTCCTTGGATCGAGCGGGTATACTGGTGGCGTGCTGCTCTATGTGATCTTCCAGGGACTTCAATTTGGCCACACCTTCCGGCAGGGCATCTTGAATCTCGTTAATCTTCTGTAGACGTGCCTGCAAAGCTGCTTTGTTGCCAGAGTAGTCAGAGTAACCGGTAAGACGATCCCAGAGATTCTTCTGGTAATCCTGTTGTGCCTTCTGTAGCTCAGAGAACTGTTGGTATACATCGAAGGCACCATCTAGATCAGCCACCAGCTTGGCACAGTCCTGACCAACTTGCTCGTAACGCTTATTAACCTCAGCCACAGCTTTAGAGATTTCATCGGCATTTGCAGGAGCGGCGCTTCCTAGAAGAGCTGCAGCTTTCTCGTTCACAGCCTCAACGATTCGTTTATGCGAGTTAATGTCCTGATTGGTGGCCTTGTACTTGTACAATTTGGAGCGGATCTCCTGGGCACTGGTCCAGCTAGCGGGATTTTCGTTATGCAAAAGTTTTTCCACTTGGTCCAGCCAATTGACGGTTTGGTTAAGTATATCCTGGTAGCTGGTCAGCTGAACACCTTGGGCTTCTTGGCGTTTCTCCAAGTTGCGAATTCCCTCATCCAGTTTGTCCCAACGATCACGAATGTCACGCAGATCCTTGCGAATCTTTTCCCTTCCCTGAGTGGATGTCTCCGGCAGTGCTTTCTCCCCGGCGGCATTTAAGGCCGCAAATAAGCTCTCAGCTTGCTCTTTTTCGGAGAGTAGCACCTGAAGAATGTTCGAACTTTGGGTGGGCTCATCCTTGATGACCTTTTCGAGTTGGCTTTCAATGGGTTGCAGCCACAAATCCACCTCGTTGTACTTATCCTGATAGAATTGATGATCATCAACCAGATTAGACCAGCGGTTGACCACTTCCTTGCTGAGAACTTGAAGCAGCTGATAACGATTTGTAATCTGAGTGGTCAGTGTCTTCAGACGATCGGCTCCACAGTTGTTAAGCAGGGCATGGGCAGCATCCCCAAAGGCATCGATTTCCTTTTCCTTTTGTTGTATCAATTCCCTTTGAATCTTATACTTTTCCAACTGCTCAACCTTCTCGTGGAGTGTGGACTGAAGCTGCTGCTCGCGGAAAACGGCCTCTGCATTGCGGCACCATTTAGTGAGATCTTCGAGAGCTTTTTCGAATTTGTCCCACTGAGCGAGCACATCCTTCTGCTTGCCCTCAATGCCCTCGATGTCATCGAAGTGGCTCTTCATGGTGGTCTCCAGTTCGTCAATCTCCTTGTCAAGCACTTCGTTACCCTTTTCGGAAGTCGTTGGCTTCACCTTCTCAAACTGATCGCGTATATCGCCGAGCAATTTCATAGCCTGTGGTTTGTTTTGAGCCAACTGACCCAAGGTTTCGATTTTCCGCTTGATATCTGCCTTCTCGCCGTAAGCATCATCGCATTCCAAGAGCTTGGCCTTCTCGTTCGAAATCCATGTCTTGGCTGAAGCCAGAGCATTGTTCAATTCGTTATGCTTTTGCACGCAGTCCTCCAGGTTGTGCAGGATAACATCAGATTTCTGAACGATGCCTTGGAAAATTTGTTTAATTGACGCCAAGTAGACATTCAACGAATTATCCTTGATCTGATCCACCAGAATTTGAGCCTTGTCGCATACATTATCGACCAGAACGTTATGGGTAGTGATTTCTTGATGGAGCAGCTTGTGGTTCTGCAACTGTGCCCGCTTCTCCTGCAACGTCGTCTTAGGTTCAGTATTGCTTAGCATGGCCTTGTCCACGTCCTTCAGCCACTTGGTAAGCTGATCTTGAGCAATGCTAAATTCGTTAAACTGCAGCAGGCACTGATCGATCTTCTGTGTAGCCGAATTCAAATCATCCGTGTAGTTGTCCCACAGAGTACGTAGAGAACGCAACTGCTGGCGGATGATCTCACGGCCGTCGGGGCTGGTGTGGCCATATAGCTTCTCTCCACGATCAATGAGACTCTCGAAGATAGTGGAGTCCGAAATGCGCTTGTCCGACATCTCACGGAGTTTGTTCTGCTGATCCTGCAGCACACTCTGATCGCCCACAATTTCATTGGCCTTGGCAAGGTCATCAACGGATACTTGCAGACTCTGCTTAAACGCATCAAAGTCCTGATCGAAGCTCTCATGATCCTTTACATAGTTTACGTACTTGGCAATCGATTCCTTGCATAGATTCTTAAGCGTCTGGTAACGAGTATTAAGGCGGGATAGCTTAAGGTTCAAATCAGTCTCACCCTCAATCTCACGGCCTTGATCCATCAGCTCATTGATGGCTGAACCACGACGATCAATATCCTTGGTAATTTCTTGAAGCTGTTTCAAATGAGCCTTCTTGGCGTCAGCAGTGCTCTTGAGGTTTTGATTCTTCACCACCGCCTCCACATTCTTCATCCAATTGTCCAGCTCTTCGATGATCGAGTCAAACTCATCCCATTTGGAGCACAGTTGCTTTAGTTTCACCGATGAATCTTGGCACAGCGTCATGAAGTCCTCCCAAGCTTGCTTTGGTTCCTGGAATCCCTTAAGCAATGCTGGATGACCATTAGGATGGGTTTGCGAGAGCACCGTTTCCAATAAATTATGGCAAGTATCGAAAATGGAATCTCCCTCGGGCTTGTGTTGCAAAAGATTTTCCACAACAATAAGCTTCTCCTCGGCACCCTCCTTCTCAAAGGTAGTTTCGTTGAGTATATCAATGGCTTCCGATTTAATAGTGTTCAACCAGTCTTGAGCCTTCTCCAGCACCTGGTCGTAGGCCTCATGCTTAACCACATGGTTGCCCACAGTTTGGATTCTGTCCGAAATCTTCTTCGATAGAGTATTGTACTCCTGGATGGATTCATCGGTCTTTCGCTCGGACTCATCATCACATAGTGTAACCGCCTTATCGTGCAATTGCTTAAGGGCATTCTTGTGAAGAGTGATCTCCTGCAGCTGCGTCTTGTAGTTCTGGAGGGCAGCCTTCTTGGTTGCCAAAGTTGGATACAGTTCATCACCAGTGGGAACCTTGGCCTTAGATTCGTTGAGATAATGCGATACTTGGGTGTAGCTCTCCTCGATGGAGGTCTTCTGTATTAGCACACCCTCCACTTGCTGCATGAAAGCATTGGCCTCATCTCTCAGGTAATCGAATTTCTCACGCATCTGGCGAAGATCAGCACGAATGCGTTCCCTATTATCGGGAGAAACTACTGGATACAGACCTTCGCCAATATCCACAGCATTATTTAACAACAGCTGACCATTATCGAAGGTCTTGATGTAATTCTTGACAGTTTGCAACTGTTGAGCCGTGGCTGATGATGACCCCGGAGATCCCATGCGAGCCAATTCCTGGAACTCGATCTTGGCATCACCAAACCATTCATTGAAATCCTTAGCCGCCTTTGCAAAGTTAGCATTAGACAATTGTGCACTACGGGTCTTATCAATGTAATTAGCCAGCGCCTTGGCCACAGCCTGGTAGCGTTGCACCAAATGAGTTACAAACTGTCCAATTCGCGCCTCCGGATTCTTTTCAATCAATTGCTGAGATGTCTGCTCCAGATTGGTAATTATGGGCTCATGGGCCAGGACATCCTGTTGGAGTATGGCCAACTCTTGAAGCTTTTGTGGTACCTCAGGTAGGTTAACCTGACTGCTCGTTTCGGCCTTAACGCGTCCTTCAACGTCACGCAACCAATTGGAAATCTGTTCGTTTGATTGCTCGTACTGAGACCACAAATCGACATTTTCATCGAGGATGCCCTTAATTTTATCAAAGCTGTCCTGTAGCGCCTTCATGTCGTTGTGCAGCAACTCGGCATCGCTGGTAAGTTCGGCCAGATTTTGTGGTGATTCCACTGCCTTCAGCATCTCCAGAGATTTCAGGGTTTCAGCGTGTCGCGCCTTGCAATCGTCAATGCTCTTGCTTACCTCCTGCAATGAGGACTTCTTCACATCCAGATTGTATTTGTCGCTGGACGATTCTGGCTGACACCAGGCCACCTTTTCCCGTTGAGTGGCAATGATGCGCTTCAGCATGCCCACCTTATCAGCATGGAACTTCTTGAGGAACTGCAACAAAGAACTTTCAATCTTTTTGGCATACAGATCGACGTTCTCATAACGTTTCTGCACGTTATTCAGCTCCTTGGGTATGATGGACTCACTGAAAGTGGGATAAAGATTACGCAATTCGTCGACCTTCTGCTTAATGTTATCGATCTCATTGCCACTATTATCCAGTTGGCCACGCAGAGCACGGCATTGCAGGAGACGCTCCATGATTTTGTTATTATCGCCGGACATATCGTCGCACTTGATGAGCTGCTCACGAAGTTTGCTCACCTGCTCGCCAGCTTCCTTCGAGCGCCTGCGCAATTCCTGTTCCTGGTCATTAAACGATGTGGTTACAGCACTCAAGCGATCTGCATTATTTTGAACCTCAGCGAACTGTTCATTCAGGAGTTTATTCAGAGCAGAAAGAGCCGGAATATCGGCTCCCTTGTTGATCTTGACCAAATCATTAGTTTTTTCCACAATTGAATCCTTGAGAGCCTGATAAGAAGGCAACTCTGTGCGGTATTTACTCAAACGCATGGGTCCAAACTCAATTTCTATGGAATTATCTGCAGCATCACAGAGTCCCTGATTCGTCTCGGACAGCCAAGGGAGCAAATCCTTTTTGGCATCCTCAATTTGCGACCAAATAACTGCTTCGGTCTCATAGACATGGGCATTCTTGGCTGTCTTGTCGTACAAGTCCTGCCAATGTTGTTTGGAAGCTGCAACTTCCTGTGGCACTTCCTGGGGTATCGGTTCTCCAATAGCACTAAATAGTTTACCGACATTGCTTCCTCGTCGTTCGAGTTCATCCAAATTGAGCTTGGACTTGCGCAACTGCTCCATGGTCTTCCTGGTCTTTTCGGAAGCCTGCTGGAGTTCAGTTTCATCACGCGGCTGCTGGGGTATGGCATTGAATAAATCCTCAGCCTTTTTCAGCTCCTTGGAGAACCTGTCCTTGGAGTCGGCGTACTCCTTCAAAGCTTGGCTAATCAAATTATATTTCTGTATACGATCGGCTATCTCATTCTGCAGAGAATCATAGTTCTTGTCCATGACTAAAAGACTCTCCTGAATCGCAGGCATGCTAGCAATATCCTCACGCATCAGCAAAGAACCTTCGTCGTGGATGCGATTCTTCAGGTCTGCTTGATACTTCAGTGCATCGTTCAGAGCCACCAAATCGGCAATGATTTGATCGATGTTGTTCAGTGTCGGATGCTGCTTGAGAATCTCGTCCAACTTGGCACGATTCTCTTGCAGCGCTTGGCCAAAGTTGTGCTCCAGAGCATGGAACTTGTCCTTGCGCACGGTCATCTGTTGGAGTTGCTGCTGTTGATTCTGCGAGCGCAGCTTCAGGTTCTCCAGCTTGTTCTCCACATCATTTACAATTTGGGTAGCAATTAGTGGACGTCGGGACAATGCATCTCTCAGCTGAATGGCTGGATTCTCGTCAATCTCCTTGGCCTGACCCTTCCAGTATCCAAGACCCTGGCCCAAACTATCGATCTCTGCAATAACCTTGGTCAGCTCTTCAGCAGGCGGTCCCTCTGGCTTGTCCAATTGGTGTTTCAGGTAATTCAAATGCGACTCCGTGTCGTTCTTCCATCCCAAAAGCTCGGTCCACTTCTCAAGGGCCGCCTTCTTTTGCAGCATGTTCGTTTCCAAATTCTGATAGTTGACCACCAGTGCAGTGTAAGCATCATTCAGGGCGTTGGACTCTTCCGGAGTGGCACCCAAAGCCAGTTGCTTCACCTCATCGTAGATGGCATTAAAACTGGGCTTCTTATCGGCATGTTCCTGCAGCAGGGCATGAATCACATGGAGACTAGTCTCCACACGCTCCGGATTGATTTCCTCCACCTGAGTCACCTGGTTACGTAGCTGCTCCATCCAATTTGAGAAGTTTACCAATTTGGCATTAAAGTCCTGGCGGGAAATAATGGCATCCGACACTTCGTTGATGTGGCCGCGTGTGGTTTCCGAAAGCTTCTGCAGCTTGCCCTTCATCTGGTTGACACGATCCTTAAGCGCCGCTGCGCCCTCGGGTGCCAAATGCAAACTAATCTGATCGGCATTTTGACCCAGAGTCACTAGCTTCGCCTGCTGCTGCGAAATTTCGTTGTTGAAGGACTTCAGCTTGACCAGCTCCTTCTCGAGCTTGTCAATGTGCGGTGTATTCAGGACAGCTGGACGCCTGGCCATCTGCTGCTCGCCCTGTCCAACCCAATCCTCGAGCTTAGCGGCATCGGCGTCAAACGACTTCCAATTGGCCACCAATTTCTCGAGCTTGGCGCTCGCCTGCTTGGCATTCTCGTGGACGGCCGTCCAGCGGGAATGCATGGCATCCAACTCATCGGGGGCATTGGTTTTGCATAACATTTTATGACTGATGTTTGATATGCCATGGAGCTTGTCCAATTGCTCCTGGCACTGTGTCTCGAATTGTTGGGCGTTGTGTTGCATGGCAACGGCTTCTTCGAGGGAGATGGGCTTAGAAACTACATTATTTACCTTGACTTCGCTTTGCTCCACGGCTGGCTTGATTTGCTGCAGACCGGCCTGGAACTGCTGCCAGTTGACGAGATCCTCCTGCACGGCTTGCGCCTGATGGTCCACGTTCCGGTTGATGGCACTGAGAACCTCTTGCAGCTTGGTGATCTCTCCCTTCAGTCGCTTAGCTTCGGCAATGTTTCCTTCCTTGGGTGCCAATTCGGATGCGTCGGCAGCCAGTAGATCCAGTTGCTTCATACGATCTCCAAGGAGACGCTTGAAGGCCTGCACCTTGACCACACGCTCTTCCGGTGTTAGATCCTCGGACTGCAGAGCCTCGATGTTCTTGGGCGCCACCTTATTGGCCCATTCCTGGAGTTCGGCAAGGCGGGTCTTATAGTTGTTCCACTTGGCACTGTAGTCCTCCAAGTAGCCGACACGATCCTTAACATGCTCCATGGTGTTGAAGAACATCTTTTCCACCTCGGTTACTTCTTTCTCCAGGATGGGACGCTTGTCGGCGGCAGCCAGCGGAGCCAGTTCAGATTTGAGAGCATGCAGCTTGGGCAGAAGCTGATGCGAGGCCTGCTGCAGCTGCACATTAAGATCCCTCTTTGACTTTAAATCCTGACTGACGTTCTTCGGGTCGGTTTGCAATGGTGTGAGGGCGCGAAGTTCGGTCTCAGCCGTTTGCAACATGGAGAAGATGTCGTTCTTCTGATCCACAAACTCGCTCCACACAGCCTGGGTGCCCTTGAGGGCCTGCAGTTTGTCCGAGGTCTCGGTGTAGGCCTGATTCCATCCAGTTTCCAGATTCTTCACCTCAGTATTCACAAAGGCGGGGGCGTGGACATCCTTGCTAAGATCACGTCCTCGCTGTAGCATAGACATGATGTGCGGACGCTGGTGATCCAGCTGATTGATGGCATACTGCTGCTCTTCAATCATACGATTCACACGCTCCAGACTATCAGGTGCCGGGATATTGGCCGTCTGATCCTTCACCTTGGTCAGCAGGCACACCACTTCGTGAACTTCTCGTCGATAGGTGTAGCACTTGGAGAAGACCTCCGTCTTGACCATCGTAATCTCAATAGTTGGTATGAGGTTCTTGTAGCGTGCAATCAGATCCTCCAGCTTCTTCTGCTCCAGATTTGCCTCATCTTCGGTGGCATAGCTAAGCAGCGAGTCCAAGGTCTTCACTAGCCATTTCATATCTTCGCGTTTGTTGTCCGCATCTTGACAGATTTTCTGTTTGAAATAAAGACAAAGTGAGTTAGTAAGATGTTTTCAGACACGACAGGGATGCCATTTGAGTTTTAATATTAATTTTAATATAAAGATTGTAAAGATATATATTTATACCCTTGCAGGAAATTATAATATCAGTAAGAAGTTTAAAGTAACTCTGATGTAACTCTGAACAGTACGTATCTATGAGCAGCAAGTAACTCTGAACAGTAAGTATTTATGACCAGTTGCTAACTTTAACACTAATAAACAATGACTTGCAACTTTTTTAACACAACGCATTTCTGAGACTTGGCCGGCAGAAGAGACTTCGTTCAGGGGATGTTAGAACAAATTGCGAATCATATGATATGAAGATTAACTATGAACAGTAAGTATCTATGATCAGTAATTAACTCTGAACAGTAAGTAATTATGACCCCTAATTAACTATGATTATTAAGTATAAATGAACGTTAAGTAAATCTGATCAGTAAGTATCTATGAGCTGCAAATAACTCTGAACAGTATGATCAGTTAATAACTTTTAACACTAATAAGCAATGACTTGCAACTTTTGTAACACAACACATTTCTAAAACTTGGCCGGCAGAAGACACTTCGTTCCGGGGATGTTAGAACAAGTTGGGAATCATATGATATGAAGATTAACTATGAACAGTAAGTATCAAAGAACATTAAGTAACTCTGATCAGCAAGTATCTATGACCATTAATTAACTCTGAACAGTAAGTATTTATGACCCCTAATTAACTATGATCAGTAAGTATCAAAGAACATTAAGTAACTCTGATCAGTAAGTATCTATGAGCAGCAAGTAACTCTGAACAGCAAATATTTATGACCAGTTGCTAACTTTTAACACTAATAAACAATGACTTGCAACTTTTGTAACACAACACTATTCTGAGAAGTGGCCGGCAGAAGACACTTCGTTCCGGGGATGTTAGAACAAGTTGGGAATCATATGATATGAAGATTAACTATGAACAGTAAGTATCTATGACCATTAATTAACTGAACAGTAAGTATTTATGACCCCTAATTAACTATGATTATTAAGTATAAATGAACGTTAGGTAAATCTGATTAGTAAGTATCTATGAGCTGCAAGTAACTCTGAACAGTATGATCAGTTAATAACTTTTAACACTAATAAGCAATGACTTGCAACTTTTGTAACACAACACATTTCTGAGACTTGGCCGGCAGAAGACACTTCGTTCCGGGGATGTTAGAACAAATTGGGAATCATATGATATGAAGATTAACTATGAAGAGTAAGTATCTATGACCAGTAATTAACTCTGAACAGTAAGTATCTATGACCAGTATTTAACTCTGAACAGTAAGAATCTATGACCATTAATTAACTGTGATCAGTAAGTATAAATGCACGTCAAGTAACTCCGATCAGTAAGTATCTATGAGCAGCAAGTAACTCTGAACAGTAAGTATGTATGATCAGTAATTGACATTTAACACTGATAAACAATGACTTGCAACTTTTGTAACACAACACATTTCTGAGACTTGGCCGGAGGCAGACTCTTCGTCCCGGGGATGTTACAACAAGTTGGGAATCATATGATATGAAGATTAACTATGAATACTAAGTATCTATGACCAGTAAGTAACTCTAAAAAGTAATTATCTATGACCGGTAATTAACTACGATCAGTAAGTATCAATGGACAATAAGTAACTATGATCAGTAAGTATCAATGAACATTAAGTATCTTCGACCTGTAAGTTTCTATGACCGTAAGTATGTATGATCAGTTACTAACATTGAACATTAAAAATCAATGACTTCCAACTTTTGTTGCAATTGAAAGCAGGCATAACTTTATTTGTTTTTTAACATATATATATATATATAATTTATATTTCCTAGTGATCGAATTTCAATCTGCAAGGGTATACAAACTTCGGCGTGCCGAAGATAGCTTCCTTTCATGTTTTCGATGGCATCACTGCGAAAGTATATAATATCTAAACATATAAAAGCATATTAGTTACCACTAGCTCCCTCAGCTTATATGCATGCGTGTGATGGGTTAATGAGAAGATTATTTTTCATGATGATCGAAATGGAGGGTTTAAAACTCATTATTTTAGATAACTCACCTGGAAGACAACCTTCTCTTTTTCAAATTCCTCCATAGTGTTTACTTCATTGACGATGTTCTTTAGACTCTGGTCCACGCTGTTCATCCACTGGACCATATCGTTGAATTTCACATGATAGCCCTGCCATTGGGCTGGAATCTGTTGGAGGGTCTGTCGCATGTCACCAAGTTTGTTGGACAACAAATCCCACTGGGACTTGGCATTGTCGTAGGCCTGGTCCAAACTAATATCGCCGGGCTGCTGTTGACGGTGTGCCTGGGCTAAACGTTGCATATTTTGCAGGCAGCGCTCCACTCGAGGCACTGCATCCTGTTGCAGAAGGAACTGCTGATTGCGCTGCAGTATAGAGTCCACATCCTCATTCCGGTTAAGGGCTTGTTGTTCCAATTGCAACTCCTTCTCCACATCCTTGAAGGACTGATAGAAGGCATTCTCATCCAGTCTGAACTCCAGTTTCAGCAGGTGTAAGGGAGCCTGGGATAGCACATTCTTCCAGCGGGATTGCAATTCCTCAACGCTGCGGACCACAGCCGGTTGTTCCTGGGCGGGCAAGGTGGTTAGAAGCTGTTGAGCCGATTGCACAAGGTCGTTCATCCAACGATCGTTGACCTGCTCAAAGAAGTACTTCTGTGTCTCAATGGTTGTCTTCGACTCAATGTGCTTCTCCACCAGCATAGATTCTGCCTGGGTTAACCATTCGCTAACCACTCGCTCGTTATCCTTGAAATTGCTCCAACCGCCGGCAGCTGAATCCAGGCGCTGCTCCCATTGCTGTGCATTCTGGATCACATAGTTAAAGCGTTCGTTCAGTTGTTGCATTTGCTGGGATGCCGGCGCTGTATCGATCTTGTCATCAGCAGCGACAGCCTTCAGTAGATTCTGGAACACCTTGTTCTTGCTCTCCAGCATGGAACGATAGTAGACGGTGCGCGAAAAGTAGGTCTTGTGCTTGAGCAGCTGCTCATTGATGGCATCCCGTCCTCCCGAGAGATTGTGGGTTCCAGGAGTTGTTCAGCCTCGCTCAACCATTGGTGAATCTCCTTTTGTCCAGCCTCCAAAGATTCTTGTTGGATCTGAAGCTGATGGAAGAGATGCAGTTTTGCAGGTAACTGGGCGCGTATGCGCACCAGGGATTCCTTCTCCAGCTTCAGTAGCTTCATCATCTTATCCACCTCGTCGCGAGACAAGTCCTGTATCAGTGCTTGGAAATTCCTGCTGATGGTCTTGAACAACTCCTCGTTGTCATCGATCTCACTGGCGAGTTGCTGAAGCTGCTGGCCATATTGCTTGATTTGCTCCGAGTTTCCTAGGACTTGTCGTTGGTCCAGCACGTTTTCCGCTCCCCGTAGCCACCTGGAGAGCTGCTCGATGCCGGATTTGTATTCCTGACGCGACCGGATAATGTCACCAGCATGCATATACTGCTTGGTGTTGGCAAACAGACGCTCAAATCGCTCCGAGAGAGCTCCATGCCGCTGACGCAGCTGGTGGGCAATGGGTTCCTCGCAGGAAGCGATTAAATAGTTGGCAGAGTTTGCCAGTGCATCGAACTTGTCCTTCCATACGGGTATATCCTGGAAAAAGTCCAAGCGTTCGTCCTCGCTCTGGTTCACCTTCTGCTCGGCCAGCAGCAGCCACTCCTCGCAGGTTGGTGCCAATTGGTTCCAGTTGCGCCAGCAGTTGACCACTTCTTCCAGTGAGTTCTGACAGCACTTCAGCTCCATGGAGACACGCTTCCAACGCTCCTCGGTTTCGTACATAAACCGATCAATATCGTTGATATCCTTGCGTGGGACGTTGCCTTCGCGCTTGTACTCATCCACCACTTGTTGCATGTCGACGAAGGCCTTTTGGAACTCTTGGAAGATCTTGTTGCGTGAGACAAAGTTCTTGTACTGCTCCAGCTGCTGGGCAACCTTCTCTTCATGACCGTACTTGCCCGTCCAGCCACGCATCTTGTTCTCCACGAGATTCAAGAAGGCAATCAGGCAGCACTTGTGCTCGAGGAACTTAAGACGGATTCTTCGCTCCGCTGCCTTGGGTCCAACTTCTTGCAGACGACGTTCCATGTTGCGTAGCTGCTCCAAAGGAATTTGCTGGGCCAATGGTGATCGCTTGGCATTCTCAAACATGGCCAAAATTCGCGGTAGATCGGCAAAGAAGAGTTTGTGCTCCTCCAACTTCCTGCTGATAACGGCCGCCGTCTCTTCATTCATGGCATTGGGTATCTCATTGTCCATTAATAGTTTCTCAGCTTCGGCTAGCCATTTGCCAACGGTGCCAAAGTCGCCGGGCAGTTCCGAATCCAGTAGCCAGAGCCAGTACATCATCTGGTACTGGAGGCGCTGCCACAGCTCGTTGATTTCATCCCAAGATTGCCGGGAAACCTGCAGGAAGCCGCTCTGACTCTCAATCAGTTGCTTCAGGCGGTTGTAGGCCGGCAAATGGGCATCGACTTCCGAACGTGCCAGAAGATATTCACCGAAATCACGTGGGAACGAGCTCATCATGACCATCGGCTCGTATTCGGTGGTCTTTTCCACCAGGAAGCGACGCAGCTCATCCGCCTCCTGTTGCGCATGCGACTGGTCGCGAGAAGCACCCTTTTTGGAGAGATAGAAAAGATATTCATTAATTTAGCCTATGATGTCTATGTTAATATTTATAACGTTGCACCTACCTTTGGTTCGGGATACTTGTGCAAAAATTGCGCCACATATGTCATGATACTCTTCTCGTCCGGCTTAGGTACGTCCACATCCTCAGCGTCTAGGAGCTTGGCAATGCCCAGCTTGCTTTCGGCCACATCGAAAGCTGTCTCCAAACGCTGGCGATTGCTGGTCTTCTTCAGCTCAGCCAAGTTGACCAGATTCGCCTTGATGGCATCAATTAGGGCAAGGAAAGCGACGCCATCTCTCCAGCTAGCGCCGAAATCTTTTACCTCCACACCACTGTCTCTGCGGGGGAAACAATACATTAAGCAATTTGGTAAAAATAATATAGGTATCATCACTCACTTTGGCAAGGCATTGGTCACCCAGTTGAGCAGGGTCTTCCTGGCGCCCTGCTTCCATTTCTCAGCCTTAAGATCACCATGCTTTTGGTTGCCAACGCTGTCGAGGGAACTAACCGAACCGCCAATACCATGACCCAAATATTCTAGGTTGCGGCTATTCTCCTCGATCTATGAATACAAAGAATTTAATTAGTTTAAGATCTGGAATACTTCTTGTCATGGAAATGCAATATGGTTAAACTTAAGATATGGAAGTGCCTTTAAAAATGTTTGGCTACCAACTGAAAAATACATCATCTACCCAAAAATTTATGAGGTACTACACAAGACAACACTTAGACCCACCTGTGGCGCATAATTTATAACTACTACTAAGTTTTTCCGCCTCTTTTTACGAAGCTTGTGTACGTTTAACATTATGGTATCAAAAGTATATAGAAAAAGAAGGTTTCATAGGGTTAATTACGTTCAAAAGGTTTCAACAATTTGTGAATTTTGTACATCTCTACATTGGTGGTAGCCTCGTGAAAAGGTGTACAACTAGTAACCAATAGATATTTCCATTATTTTTGGGAGGTGCTCTCAATTCGTGAACTGGTGCACACTTTTGCTCTTTGGGGTGAGTTAATTGTTTTGAATGCGATTTAAGTTAATATATTATTATTCACCTGGAAGTACAAGATGATTGTCCATATCAAACCCAACACAACTGGTGGTCTCCCATCCACCAGATCTGCGGGATTAATATTAACCAACTTGATCCGTTTGCTGGCCAAAAATTGCAGGGCCGTGTTGGCATTGCTAAGAAAATGTGGACGTCTCAGGACGCGGCCCTTCTCCACGGGCAGCCGTTCACCGGACAGAACTTCGAGCAATGCGATTAGTTTAGTACCATCGCGTAAGTCATTGATTAAATCATCGATACGAAGCGGTGGAACACGCTGAAAAAAAGGGTAAAAGATTTATTAATTAAGAGTTAAACGGGGTTATGTGATACGCTAGAAAACTATTCAAAGCCTTACTATTTTCATCTACATTTTAATTAAAGTTTCTCTTTTGCTTAAGTTTCCAATTAACACCCATTTAATGAGCACTTATATGAAAGAGTTTAAAAGTACCGGACAATTGCCTGCAAGTGCCTTCTTGTGTACTGTTTTTAATAGGAATTTTATGGCTATATTATGTACACTATGCCACTATGCACTCTCATGGCTGTAGCCAAACCAAATAAACAAACTTAATGGGGCGCAGTGAACAGATTTAATGGTTCCCTCCCTCTAGATGCTCGGTTAGGTTTTGCATAAGTTCTGTTTTGTTTTTTTCGGTTAATCAATCAAATGCAGCTCACGAACCAAAAACCAAAAACTGCTAAACATTAAGGCGCATTAAATCAATTAAAATAGTTTAAATTGCTGTTTGCCATAGCGATAATTTGCGGTGATACTTCAGTGGAAGTCAAGACAAATTGGCCAATGGCACGAGCAGGCATTTAACTTGAAAATGCCACAAAAGATTACAATTTTTTAAGGTAATGCCATTAGGGGTAGCCGCAACGGAAGTGCCACCACATAGCAAATAAACAAACAAACAAACAAACTGACTAGCAAACAAAAACCGTGAATATACATTGTAATTGAGTGTAGCATTTAATTGAGCTTTCTTGTGGAGTTTCTGCAGAACTTTACTCAACTGTTGCGAGCAACATGCAAAAGACAATGACATCGTCGCTTGGTAAAAGTTTTTCCCCAAACAGCAAAAAACTTTTCATTTTTGTGTGTGAATTCTCCTTCAGAAAAGACATAGCGAAATCAATTTCAATGCTTCCGTTTCCTGTTCCACTAAGCCCGCCGTTTTTTTATTCTGTTCCTCCATTAAGTTCTAGAATTTATGGTGTCATAGTGTTTTATACTAAAAAAGTTTTTCTGTTTTTTTGTTTTTGCCTTTTGGTTGTTTTGTTTCTGGGAGTGGGACATATATGTCATTACAACGGTTGCCTGGGCACTCTCTTTGGAGGCACTTAATACCCCCCAAACATGACATTGGAATAAGTGTTACCTGCGCTAATCGTAAAATAGATACCTGGCCCTGTGATCAGGCCGCTGCTGAGCATTATAATTACCGACAGTTAAGATGATAAGTACAAAAGTTGTGTACTTAAGCAGGCTAAAGCTAAGTACTTAGAATTAAGAATAGTTTTTAACTTATGTCATCTCTAAGTAGAAGCTTAGTTCTTTTGATATTCGTTAAGTTTAACCATTTTTTTTTAACTAAGGCGTTAAATTAGACTCTTTTTTAAAGAATTTGTACTCTTTTCTTTTCAGTTAATTGCTTGTAAATCATTTCTTATCTATTCACTTGCCACCTGTCCAACACAATGGGATGAGCACCTGACAAATGATTTCTCTCATCCAGCATTTGTAACCCACTTTCCCACATCACACAAAATCCTTTCTAATTTAAGCATCTCTCTACAAACTGCTACATAGATCCTTTCACTTTGGATTTATGATTGTACTATATAGATTCCCCTGCGGAAAATGTGACTGATCAAAGCCCGCAAAATAAACTCGTGCCGGGGCGTTGCCATCAATTATGTCATAAAGAAATCATCAAAAGCAAAGTGGATAGAATGTGTGGGCTGGGCACTAAAAAAAAAATAAAATTGAACATCCAATGTGCCATGACGTCTTTGTCATTGCGGCACCGGGCGACCCACCAATGAGCTGGTTCAAGCGTGTAAATTAATTCATAAATTTAAATCAAATTCTATGAAAATAAAAGCGAGTGTCCAGAGCGGGTTTTTGGGTCGCCACTAGTGGTTGTGGTGGATCCGAAACCAAAACTCGTTCACCTTGAACTGAGCTTGAAATGAAACGAATGCCAATCCAACATTTTTTCTGGGCTCTCAAACACTTTGTTGAGTGTGTATATCTGTATCTGTTGGATGCACAGTAGAATATACTTGCTAATTGATAGCACTGACAGAGGTCTAATAGTTAAACACAAATTAAATAAATCACTTTTTATTAGCAATTCACATTAATTGCCACGGTGTAATGTGTTAACCAATCGTTGTGCAACCGGACAACAATTTGCCATGTCATTATTGTACATTAAGTGACTCATTTCCATGTTGCATAATCCCCGATGTAGATGTTGAATCCAACTCCTTGGAACCCCTGCTGAAATATATATGTCTGCAATCAGGGGCAAGTCAGGCCCACGCACTCTGCGAAATCATCAATTCAGAGACCCTTGCCTGGCTGCTGCTGGTTGCTCCTTTCACGTGCTGGAGTCCCCCGGAGCTGGAGTCTCTTATCGAGCTGCAGTGTGTCTTAAAGTCTGGAGGAACTGGTTTTCAATGCCTGCCTGAGATTTGATTGTATACGAATAATTGCCGGCCGGCCGGCAACAGCATTTCTACTTGCATTTACACTCAGGGTACAATATATAGTACATTTTCTTGATAAAATAATATATACAAGAATAGAAGCTAACTTCGGCACGCCGAAGTTTATATACCCTTGCAGAACTTCTATGAATAGGAATCCATACAACATAAATTATATATATTTGTATTAAAAAACAATGAAGTAATACCTGCTTTCATTTCATTCACCTATACATATTATATTTGCAGTTTTACATTCACAGATTTGCATTTTTTCTCTACATCAAACGATCGTTTGTATGGCACCTATATGATATAGTCGTCCGATTTTCATGAAATTTAACACAAAATTTAAGACTAATATAAAATGCCTATACCTAAATTTGATGAAAATCAGTTGAAAACTGAAAAGGTTATAAATTTAATTGTATTAATTTCTCGATCGTTCCTATGGGAGCTATATGATATAGTCGTCCGATTTTCATAAAATTTTACACAAAATTGTAGAATAATATAAATGGCTATATCTCAAATTTGATCCAATTCTATTGAAAACTGAAAAAGTTAAAAAAAAATTTTGTAAAAATTTTCCGATCATTCCTATCGCAGCTATATGATATAGTCGTCCGATCCGGCCCGTTCCGACATATATACGAGTGAGAGTATATAGAAGGCTAACTACAAAGTTTCATTCAGATAGCTTCAAACTGAGAGACTAGTTTGCGTAGAAACGGACAGACGGACAGAAGGACAGACGGACATGGCTAGATCGACTCGGCTGTTGATCCTGATCAAGAATATATATACTTTATATAGTCGGAGGTGCCTCCTTCACTGCGTTGCAAACTTCTGACTGAAATTATAATACCCTGCAAGGGTATAAAAATGGAGAGAGAGCTTAAAGGATTTTGCTAAGAGATTTCTAGATGTCTTCACTATTTGTTCCTACTATTTTCACCTCAATTGTCTTGGTAGGAATATGTATTTGCCGGCTCATGTCTTGAGATTGCCGTTGGTATTAAAAGATAACGCATTAGAGACACCAAAACGAAACATACTTCACTCAATCTCCGGCCTGGGGAGCCTCTGAAAAGTGCATTAAATCAACTTGGGTTCGCGGCTCTAAGAAAGTAAGTCAGTAGGCGTCGCGTGGGTTTCTTTAGCGGGTTAATGGCAATGCAATTGAAGTCACCAACCAACCGATCCCCGTCTGAAACGGAACTATGTATGTATCTCCAAGATACGTTCGGCATTAATGCAACTCTCTTGTTGTTTGCTTCTCGGGCAGCAAACTTCGGCTAGACAGCCATCAACTCTTGGCTCTCTACGGGCAATCTTTTTTGCATTGCTAAAAAGGCTTAGAGAGTGTGCAGAAATGGATGGAGAACAGTAACAGCACCTAGACTTATCCGTTGAGGAATTTCTCGCATTACCAAGACACTGCCACAACGTGCGTGCTTCAGCTTACAAGATATTCTTGGAAGCTATCCAGAGGGAAAGAGTGACTTGAATATTTCTTCCTAGACACATGACAAATGTTTGTGCAGAACACGAAGGTATTTGCGCACAAATATGCTAATGAACCAAGTTGTTGGCACTGGAAATCTCATCGAAATCATAAAATATCATAAAGGTAGAGCTTATGTATGTATATTGAAAGGAAGAGTCGAAAATATTTTTGGAAACCTAATAAACTATTTAGCAAAAAAAAGAAAAGGAAACTATCTTTGGGAAGCCAAAATTCATAAATACTTCCTTGCAGTTTGAAATTGAATTATGGAATATTATCGGAAATCGATTATAAGTAAGCTTAAAATATTCATATTAATTGAATCTATATGCCTGTTGATGCTGATCAAGAATATATATGATTTATAGAGTCGGAAATGATTCCTTCACTGCTTTATAAGCTTCTGACTAAAATTATAATACAGTTCCTTGATATTTATCAATTTTTACGCCAATTTTTCGAAAAAAAAAAAAAATTTTAAGAAATTAATAACTAAGCCAAAAAAGGTTTAATTTAAATTCGGGAAGCTTTCCTATGTTACTTTTTTTTAGATTAATTAATCTACATACTCAATTTAAAATGTTTGAAAAATAAAATGACTGAAATTATAATCCTATTCTTTGAGTTGGTATTTATTTATATTTTTATTCCAATTTTTCGTAAAAATCAAATTGAAAAAAACTCATAGCTAAGCCAAAAAAGCATTAATTTTAATTCGGAAAGCTATTCCATGTTAGTTTTTGTTAGGTTAATACATCTGCATACTCAATTTATAATTTAGAAAGTTTTGAAAATTTTTCAATATTTGAAAATTGTAATTATGAAATTTTAACCATGAAAAAATGTTGAAAAAAAAATTGTAAAAAAAAATTTCACTGAGAGATGCCTAGAACGATTCGCCTGTTGATGCTGATCAAGAATATATATAATTTATATGGTCGGAAATGATTCCTTCACAGGGTTTTAAGCTTTTGACTGAAATAATAATACCCTACAAGATTATACAAATGATACTCTATTCTTTTGACAATGAAAAAATCAAAAACTTTCAAACTTCGCGCAAATTATATCACAATTATCTAAACAAAAAAGCTTTTCTTCATTACTTCCATCATAATTACTCGACAAATAATGGCTTAAATACGCTTATCACGCTTAATTTTTGATTTTGAATTCCAACTGACGGACATGTCACGCCCCATAACCCATTTTTTGGTTATTTTGTTTTACTTTTTTTTCGGCAGAGAAAAAAAAACCTCTCACGCTTGGCTTATCTAATGCAAATCAATATGCAAATTTCATTGCCACACGATTGTAGACACAATTTATTTGCACCTTGCAAGACAAATCGATTGGGAGGTTCCGCGAGACAACTCACCTTCAGTAGGTATGAATTAATCCAATTAGTGAATGTCTTCTTCTGCACACGTTCTTGCTCCTCTGAAAATGAAAAGAAAAGAAAAAACGTCAGTAAATGAGAAATGCAATTCGTAATTCGTACATTGGCAGTTAATTGTTGGACAAGTGTAGTCGGCAGACGAGACATAAAAGGCGAAATCGAGACATGACGATACTACCAAAAGATACTAAAAGACAACCGATAAGATACATACATTTCTTAGTATGCACAAGGTACATGTACCTGTTTCTCGATTTCATGTTGCTTTTTTCACTTGCCCCTGCAACTGATGTTTGCTTTTATTATATTATCAGTTAAGGTATATATATAAAACGAAATTATCACGATGATATCATATGTTTGCCTTTGGCGATATTATCGCAGAACCTTTATGGTTCAATTTTGGTAGAATATATTTCCCAAAAGGAGTTGTAAAATTGTATTTGTATTTTGCAGAATGAATTCTTTGAAATTTCAACAAAGAATATAAATATTACCACAAAATTCTTTACAATTCCGTTGACCCTTTCCGTGCGTCAAAAGGCTATCCCAATAATTATAAACACAAAATTCATAGCAAATATTTACCCATTTCTTGCCGTTTTTATGTGGTTTAATTACCTCAATTTAATTTCAGAGCCGTCAAATTGAAATAATAAACAAAGCGTTAAAAACGACAATTTGTAAACAATTAACAAAATACACACGAAAGAGAAGCACAGAGCAAAGTCATTATAGAAAAGTGCAGTTTAGTATGGAAATGCTTGAAGCTAAAGGAGCAGCTGTCTGGCCATAATCCCAATCCATTGGGGAATATATGTATATAGCCATGTATAAGACGTGGCCCAGTGCGTGGTCTATTGGCAGTTGGCCAAACGCATGCCAAGCATATGAAACGAAAATAGATTTCCCGTAATAAATAATAAATCCCCTCGAAAATGGAAAATTTCTACAGAAGAATGCTTGGAATAAGAATCATTTCATGAAATAAATCGACCAGGCCATGAAACCGTCAAACGCTTAGCTTGGCCAATTATCAAAACAATTTACAAAGTAAGAAACACGAATACAAATTGTAATAATTAATTAATTTTTAAATAATTCTGCCAACTTTATCTTGAATTTTGAACATGTATATATTTATTTATTTTTTTTAATTCATTCAATGCGCGGGAGTGACGCAATTTTCTGTTTCTCAAATGTTGACAAAAGATTATTTAAATAGAAATTAGTTCAAGGTTTCGCAATTTGCAAAGCAACCGAAAGTCATGTATACATATTAATCTTTATAATATAAAATAAATTATTCTGGGTAAAAAAAAGAAACTATATGCAATTTGGTGAACTTGAAGCAAGGTAAAATAAAAACAAATTAAACCTAATGATAATTTTTATGCGGGTTTTCAGACACTTTAAAAGTGCTTTAATGGCTTGTAAAGACTTGATGTAGCAGTTCCCATAATAAATTAACACAAGTTGCCTTCGAATTTTGGCATCGAATGCAGGGAAAATTATAGTTTAATTAAAATAAAGATTATCTTTAAAAGAAACTTATATTCTTTAATTAATACATTTCGGCTGGTGCTCAGGGTTGAGTATAACTAGATTTTGTTTAAAAGAAAGCAGGCTATTAAAGAGTTTTATATTTTCCAATTATTTAATAACATGTTCCAACACTTTTGACAACTTAAAAGCTATCTAGTATCTAGTACCTAGTATCTGTCTTAAATTAATTTAAATTTTCTTTCCAAACTATATGTAGTATAATTTGTATTCCCAAACAATTAAGTTGTTTTGACCAAAAACATTTTAGACGCCTCTTCAAAGACTCGTTTAAACCGAAAAACCTGATATTTTTGGCCAACAAATCTATGTGTGTTGCTTTCGGAATAAATTACATTAACTTTACCAACTACCGCATTTGGTATATGGCATAAATTTACTAACGAAAACGAGTTGACAATAATATTGTGTATTTTGTGAATATATATTTGGTCTTGCTATGGCCAAAAATAAATTGTTTATATGTGACACATGGAGAGTCTGGTGATTAGTTAACGTTTTACTATGCCATAAATCATGTGTTTATATTTTGTGTATACTTTTTTTGCAACGAATTTGTTATCAGCATATACATTTAGCAATTATTGGAAAGATAGCAGAGAAATGCACTTGAAATGTGGATTTTGATAATAAGAAAGGGTTGCTTGGAATGTGGTTTGTGCTAACCATAATGGTTTTGCTTTTAAAAGAGGGAAAATTGACCGAAAATAAAAGAATAAAGCTTATTAGAAGAACGTGTCAAATGAGAACATTTTCTACTTAATTTTCTCGAAAAAATTTCTATTATACATATAGTATAAATAGGTTATCTGTAAAACCTCTAAGTAACCTAATCTCCTTATTACACCGGTCACTTATTTAGCTCAAAGTTGTGTAAACTTTAATTATAATTACTTAACTTTTGAGTGCCTTTGCCCGTTCACTTTAGATATGGATAGAAAAAAAACTATAGCTCTATCTATAAATCAAACTTGGGAATATCAAAAAGTAAAAGCCTTAAAAAACAGCAATTATTGGAAAGATAGCAGAGAAATGCACTTGAAATTGTGGAATTTGATAATAAGAAAGGGTTGCTTGGAATGTGGTTTGTGCTAACCAAAAATGTTTTGCTTTTAAAAGAATGAAGAATTGAGCGAAATATAAAAAAAATTTAGTTTATTCGAGGAACGTGTCTAATACGAACATTTTCTACTTAATTTTCTCAAAATATTTTCTGTTATAAAGTATAAATAGGTTATCTGTAAAATCTCTAAGTAACCTAATCTCCTTATTACACCGGTCACTTATTTAGCTCAAAGTTGTGTAAACTTTAATTATAATTGCTCGTTCACTTTAGATATGGATAGAAAAAAACTATAGCTCTATCTATAAATCAAACTTGGGAATATCAAAAAGTAAAAGCCTTAAAAAACGGGTTTTATTTTTACAGATATTATGCGTGCTTATAGCCCCAATGCCAAGAACAATTAACAAGGGGCAAAATCAGGCCAGGGAATAACGTTCAAGTTGAATGACTTTTTATGTTTTTCTCTCGTTTTTTTTTTTCTTTCAATTTTTCAATTTCAATTTCCATTTCAATAATGATGTATGAAATGATTACAAGTTCCCTCAGGCGAACATTATAAATTCCTCAGAAATGTGAAACAAAGAATTTCAGAAGCGGTAAATTGTTGTTTCTTCTCGGTTGTCGGTAATTTCTTGTTGCTTCTTATGATCTTATGAATGGTTCCGTCAGTCAGTTAGTCAGTTAGTGAGTTAATGATGGTGATTATGACGAAAAGAGCGGTTGATTGTTATTTATGTTTATTTCGCTATTTTTGACCATTAATGGAGCGCACCTTAAAGTAATAATTTTAAGGAAAAGCATAGCAAACTTTTACCCATTTATTGATCGTAAATAATTATAACAATTACAGAAAAAGAAGTGAAGTAAAGTCATTCACTAACTTATATATATTCAGCCTCAGTCGCCCGTTTGTCTGATTTGGCCTAGTTACAGAACACAGAACACAAAAGAAGTGTTTCGGTAAAAATAGTTTATTTACTTTCACGCATTACTAATTGTTTGGGTTTCCCTACCAAACGAAAATATATAAAAACACCAAATACAAGAAAATGTTCCTCTACATTTGCATAAACAAAAGGCATTCGAATGGAAGTTTTTGGGTTAAACAAAAAATAGAAAAGGGAGTGTGTGTGTTGTGTTTGAATGCAGACGATATAGAGCATATGTTGCCCGGATCTGATCTATTCAACGGAAATGCGTCGAATCCAAAATAAAATGTTCGCGGTTGGAGAGGCAGTGTCAGTGGGTTTCCGTAATACAAAAACTAATGTTTATTTGCTTAATTATTTGGAAGCCAACCACATTGCGTAATGGGGAATATAGAATGCAGAAAACTAGAACATCAAAATACCAATTAAACGAAGATAAATGTAATTTAGTTAGGGTTTACAGATTGATTGAGAAGAAATATTTAAAAAAACAATATCAATTTTTTTCCATATCATTCAGCGTAAAACCCCCAGAACTCTACTGAAAAAGAATCAATTTTTAACTTCCAAAGTGTTTTAAATAAAAACAAAAAGCTCATAGACCTTAACTATTCACCAACTTTATCTCTAAGTAAATGCCATTACTATCTAATATATATGTGAGAAGGTATAGCTCCATAAAACCCCTTAAAACTCAGAAAAGCTACTAATAAATCTAAAAATGAAAACTTTATCTAACTTAAGGCTGCCCACAGACAAGTTAAAAATACATTCCAAAGTTCCAAATACAAACTAAATAAAAATGTTAACCTTCTACACATACATTGAGTTTATCACTCATCAGCATAAGCCATATAATTATTATATCAACTGTTTAAATTCAGTTTAAATTTAAAATTTCCACATCATCAGACGAAACCCAGTGAGGCGTGTCCCAAATTGCACTTGCTTGTTGTCACCTGCGGTGTCAGAAAAAAGCCGCATAAATTGCCAATAACCATGTTGAAGAGTCTTATAAATGGCATTACTTAACTTTACGCTCCATTGACTTTAACATCTACTACCCCTTCCGTAACCCACAATATGTCGGAATGAGAAGATTTCGCAGCTACTCGAAAATATTAGATGCAAATACGATATGTTCATACATATTCATTCAGTCAAGTGGCATCGGATTGCGTCATTACTAAGTAAACGTATGTGCCTCGAAGAGGCTTGTTGTTTACCGAAATCAAAAGGCTATGTTTATTTATATTTGTCATTAATACCAGCACAGAGATAGCAGAAGTCCAAACTCAAAACTAAATGATTGAGCGCCTAAAAATGTAAAGAAAAACTACCAAAAAACTACTACAAAAACGATAATTTGTTTGTCCAACCAACACCGCAAAAATGGGCATTGGAAAAAAAAAGAAGCCCCACCATAAGAGAACTTCTAAAGATCTGCCCACGAAGTGAAACCTAAAGAGGAGGAAGCCACCAAATTCCAACATTTTTAATTTCTTTGCCACATGACCAACATCTGGAGGGGATAGAAGATCGGATCAGATCAGATCAAAACAGAACAGCTCCCACATCAAATATACTTTGTGGGTTAAGAGAACTTAAGAACTTTGTATGTGCGAGTGCTTGGCCAAGTGTGTACTTGAAGTTCGGCTTGGCGTAAACTTGTTTCACTTCTTAATTTACAAATCTCAGCTAGAATTTCAGCATCTCTGGACCGCATTTTAGGCATCACTTAAATGCCGCTAAACTACATACAAACATGCCCTATAAATTATCAGAACTGACAGTTTGCCAACGAGACAATAGCGGAATCAATAATAAGTAAATAACGCGACGATGATGATCTCAGTTGTACGGCTGCCTGTGGGGGAGATTTGTTCCAATGGATTGATCAGACAGATCGTTAGAAATTTGCCTTTTGTTTCGCAAAAAAAAAAAACATTTTCATTTTCATTGAGCACCAGCATTGAATATCTTTCTCTCATTAATCACATTTGGTTTTTTAAATATGCCTTGATGAAGCTCAATATCCAATGGATACACCGCAAGCGGTATTATAAATATTGAAAGAGTTGCAGGTTTTATTTTGTGGCTGCCATTAAAATGGCATTAATGATAATTGCTTGGAAAGTGAGGACATGTATTGAAACCAAGTCAAAAGCGTCAGCAATCAATAGTTCACTCAATACTATATATACATAGTAGATGTGAGTGTCATCAATTAGTGAACGCTTGACGTACATTTTGCCATCTTTTTTTGTATAAATTTATCAAGTGCTGCTTCGTGTCAATATATATTCGGATGTTGTGTGTGTGTGGCTCACACATATTTAGGCCAAAAATTCTGGTTGGCTTTGTCAAATGGATTTATCGAAAGGAAGTCGTCGAAAAGTTGACTGAAACACGCAACATTATAATATTTGACAGACAAGCGCCGTTATGCTGACATTGACGATGCTCGGAGAAGTGAAAAATAATACATCAACTCACGCAAACTTGATTTATGCTCACTAATTGTCATATGAAGACATATTTAACTACCGAGTGCCCTCACAAAATATATAGTTGAATATCTAGAAGGTTGTTTTTAATAGGAAAATCTATTTCTAAACCAGCTCAAGTGAAATTAAAGTACTCTTTATACAGTATATATGCTAAAATTGTATGGCAAACTGCTTATAATCTCATCCATCACCTGTCTGGCCCCATCAAAACCTTTTAATCTCATCTATTAATAACAAAATAACCCCACAAAACTCTCCTCCCGTCAGCAGCTAAACATGAAAAATCAATTTTCATAAAATATTCTTCGTGCCAAGAAGAGAACATTTTTGCCCCGATAATCAAACATCATATATTCCAGATAATGCACACAAAACCCGGCAGTCCGTCATCAGTTGGCGTATCTATAGATACAAAAAATATTTGCATATACTATATATCTTTATATGTATATAATGTATAAAAAAAGTTCGTTTAAATGCAGTCCAAAATTGCGACAGAACAGACTTTTCGATCCACTTGCAGATCAGAGGTATATAGAGACAGACAGACAGACAGAGAGACACCAACCTGCCAGACCTTAATTGGTTGTTGTGCTTAACATAATAACAGCCAAGGAGGAGGTCACATAATAGACAAACACAATCCAACCCCCCGCCCTATGGGTATAGTAGGGATAGTTCTTCGAGTGCTTTTTGGCTGCCAATAAAATATTCCCCCGAGGGAAAGAGGTAACAAACTGCTTGCCAACAGTCAATATGGTGAGCGAATACATAACAAACGCACTGTGTGCGCGAGTATATAAATAATATAAATCGCCAGATAGAAGTTTAGGGCGCGACCAATCGACCGACTGACTTATAACAACAAGCTAAACGGCTAAACAAGTTAAAGTTCGAATTGCGGCATCTAGAAACGGATGGATGATGTCATTTCAGAGGTGTATAAAGATATATATATATATTTATTTTATTATCGATTGTATTTGTGTAATAATTAATTAGGCATACAAATGTCTCTGTAGCCACAAAGTGCCGACAAACTGACCTTGACATTCTATGGGATCTTCCCTATGAATTGAGTATAGTTTGCCCAATGGGAAGTGGTTGAAATATCTCACATTTATCAGTTTTCTCCGTATCTACACAAACTAGGTAAAGATAAGTTCCTAAGCGATAGGCTTAATGGGGGATTAACCTGGAGAAATTGCTAAAGATAAGGCTATGAGCAAAGCTCTTAAAAAAATGAGGTCATCGGATTTTAAGTGTTTTCAAAATTGCAATACAATTTTAAGAACTTTTCTTATAAAATGTTATACGTAGTTTCTTTGAATATCTAAGATCTAAGATCTAAGATTATATTTTATTAACAGCAAAGCTTATTATTATTATTATTTATTTTATAAAGGACCACCTAAATCCATATTGGTTAGGGGTATCACAAAATATCGATAAATCGATACTCTATCAACATCCCTCTTATACATCCTTTCACTAATTTTTTGATTTATTTAATAAAACAAATAAGTAAGAATTCCTTTAATAATCTTAATGAATGTTTTACCGAACCCAATATTTTATAAAGGACCACTTAATCCTATTGTTGGGGGTATCACAAAATATCGATAAATCGATACTCTATCAACATTCCTCTTATAATCCTTTCACTAATTTTTTGATTTATTTAATAAAACAAATAAGTAAGAATTCCTTTAATAATCTTAATGAATGTTTTCACCGAACCCAATATTTTATAAAGAACCACTTAAAACCAATTTTGTTTAGGGGGTCTTACAAAATATCGATAAATCGATACTCTATCAACATCCCTCTTATAAATCCTTTTAAAAATTTCTTGATTCATTCAATATAATATGATAAAATAAAAACCATTCCCTCTCTAATTTACCTCTCTTCTCCTTGATATGACAATCGTACTGGGAATTACTCCTTGCATAATTGATCGACGCCATGGTGGACTGGAACTCCTGATATTCCTGGTCACTGGGCGATTCGTTGCTGCGGCCACTTTGCGTTGCTAGAGTCTGATAATCCTGGCGCAGACTCTTGCTGAAAGTGCCGATGCCGCTGAGGGCGTGGGCAGCTGTCGAACAGTGCGGCGTAATGGGCGACGCGGATGTCGTTGGTGGTGCGGATGCGGTTGGGGATATAAATGTGGATGCGGATGCAGTTACCGATCCCGGTGCCGGTGTATTGGAACGCGTGGGCGTGGACACAATCACTATACTGCTGGCCGGCCTGCCCTCCGTATCCGAATCGTTATCAATGTCGTTGTCACTCGCGGTTCTCTTTTCGATACGTATCTGTGAGATATTCCCGGTTCCCGATTCGTATTCGATTAATTTGCGCGACGTGGAGGAGGAGGAGGAGGACGTAGATGATTTGGTCGTTGTGCTGGTTATCGTTTTGTGGCTTACAATTTTCCGGGGCTCTTCCGTCAAAGAACCACGCAATTGGCACGCTGCAGCTGGACTAACTTGAGTTTTCGGACCCGTTTGCGGTTGCTCCTTCGTGCCAATTGGCGTGGATGTTAGCATTGTCTTCGTGGTGCCCAGCGCTAGTTCCCTGGGCCGCTGCCTTTGGGGTGCTAGGGATGGCTCAGCGGCGGCGTTGCCACCCACCTGGACAGTTGTTTGCTGGTATAAACGCCGGCGGGGGTTGCTACCACCGACGGTAATGTCAATGTTGCCGCCGGTTGCCATGGACAACTCCTGGCGACCACCAAACGAATCGGTTTCGTCCCTTAACTGGGTATCCGCCTCAGTCAGTTCACTTTCCTGCTCCAGTTTGATCAGAATCCTTCGTCCGCCGGCGGTTAGATCCACACTTCTCGGTGGCGTCACACTGGAACGCTCACTGGAGTAACTGGAACGTGACCAGGAGGGTGAATCTCTGGGCGATACATAGCCCTCGCCATGACGGTAGATCTTCTCCTCGGCATAGCCACCATCACTGGTCATCGAGGAGGTGATAATGGTACGAACTCCATCCGCTGCGGGCACTTCGCGGACAGTTCTTTCGCCTTCGAGAAAGCTTTCCAGTTCCTTGACTTCCTTTTCTTGGTCCTGCGAGTGGTTCTCAGGGTCACATTGAACGGCGACAGCTGCTCCTCCACGTTGCCCTGCTCCGCACCAGGACTCATGCGACTCGTGGTGCGTAGGGTTACGTTAAAAGGACTAGCTACCTGCTCACTGGTCACCTCCACTCGTCGCGGCGGCAGCTGAGGCGGAGGAGTCGTGTGCCGGAGTTGGACCTGCTGGAAAGCCAGCTTGGCTGCCTCCGCCTCGGCCAAGCCACGTTGCCTCTCCTGGCGCAGTCGTCGCTCAATCTCATGGACGTCTATCTCGAAGGGATTCTCGGCATCAAAGTCGTCCTGTTGGTCATCGGCCAGACGCAACTCATCCGAGCTCTGCTCGGCGGGTCGCTTGATAGGTTGGAGCCTTCGGACCATACTTTTTCATATTGGGCCACCTTCTGACGCAATCTCTGTTGATTTGGCGATGGCGATGGCTCCTCCAGCACATACTCCTCGCGGTTGGAACTGCTCGATGTGGTCAGGGAGGTGGTGATGGTTTTCATATAGGTACGCGTCACCGTCGATGTCTCCAGCTGTTGACTCTCCTCACTCTGCATCTTCTCCTCCTCGTCCAGTTGTTCTCTCGAGGATTGCTTGTGCTCATGCGCACGACGCCGGCGAACAGCTGGTATCGGAGGAGGCACGTCATCACCTCCGCCTGCTGCCTGCCTCCTCCGCCGGCATCTACAATTGCTGATGGATCCTTGTGCTTGGATCCTGGATCTCCGCTATCAGCCATAATGGCATTGGTTTCGCTAATTGCCTCTTGTCAAGCCAAATTGTCATCGGTTACTGGGTTTTCCTTGAGGTTCCTGTGTCCTGTTTTCACTAATCTCTCTCTCTCGGTGTCTCTCTCCTCCGAATTTCCACCAAAATGCAGAATTGATTTTTCTCACGCAACGCACACACAAAAAACACACACACACTCGGACTTTTCGTGACTTTTCCTTTGCCAGACAAAATTTTCCTTTAACAACCCTTGAATGGCTTCAGTTTCTGATTTTTTTTCGGACACACGTAATTCAACTTTAATTTGCTTAAAAGCAAACCACAAACACACGCTTCTCCTGTTTTTTTTTTCTTCTTTATGTTATGTTTAACACTTGGAGCTTCGGGGGTCGCTTTGGGGTTTTATTAGGAGACATGCGAGATTATCTCACGCGGTTAGGTAAGAAATTTTTCACGTATTTCGCTCGCAGTTCTCACTGCCCCCGAAAAAAACACATTCAAATTGGGTTTTGGTTGCTTGTATTATTGCTTGTGGGGCAGGCGGACTTTATCACATTATAACCCAGCGACGACTTTGTCGCTCCGCGTTTTCCATCCGCTGTCGCAGAAAGCCGGTTCGATAATGAAACCCAGCGGTGACTACGTTCAATATGCTACGCCTTGTCCAGTCCCAAAAAAAACAACAAAAACTGTGAGAGAAGCCGTTCTCATATAGTAATCGTAGTAAAGCTCATGTTTCCCAGAGTCTGTGGCCGCTCTCTGTATGGGTATTAACTCACACACACCCAGAGAGGAAGAGCGACCCCGAGAGCAGAGTGCCAAAAAAAAACCAAGGAGAGCTTAATAAGCAGAGAGGGAGAAAAGAGAGACGAGTATATTACGCATTTTTGATGGATGCGTTGTGTTTGTGTTTACTGCTCCAGCACACTCTCATGGAGCTTGAGCCGAGACACCTCCACCGCTGACTGTTTTGTTATTGTTTGGAGTCAGTGGCGCAGTAGCCGGCTTTTGAGATGGGGTTACAAGAGAGATGTTGTAAGAAATATTTCTTTAATACTATAATATAAAATATATATTATATAATAATAATAATAATAATAATAATAATTATTATAATATATATATATTATATTATTATATTATTATATTATTATATATTATTATTATATTATTATATTATTATATTATATTATTATATTATATTATTATAATATATTATTATATTATATATATATTATTTATTATTATATTATTATATTATTATATTATTATATTATTATGTTATATATATAATATAAATATATAATATATTAATCTAATAAAAATTTCTCTGCTTGACCTTATCAGAGCACACTCAAAGTATGCACAGAATGTAATAAGTATAACAAGGTAATAATATAATGAAGACTGTAAATCAGGTTATTGGAGAAATCAAAAATGAAATGAAAAAAAAAAACCTTAACTTAAATGCGTCTACACTATAATTTTATAAACAAAATTTACAATTTTTATTGAAGCATTATTATTAATAATACTTCGCTTACATATCTTTCCATTATATCTTTTTTATAATATACACCCGAAAGAAATCCCTTTTTATTGAAACCAATATTATCAAAAATGATTTTATATATCTTCCCATTTTGTTATATTTTTTACTTGAATAAATTCATAGTAACATGTCAAGTTAAAGTTATTCTTTGAAATGAAATATATCTTAATTAACTTATACTACATACTATTTATGAGAAAGTCAAATTTAAAGACTATGAAAATAAAATGTCAGTCACCCATTCATATGTTATACAACAAAATATATTTTACAATGTCGTAGCTTTGCAAAATATACTAAGACACCTATGTATATAATCATCGTTCCCCCAATTAATAAGACAATTTTAAATTGTCATTAACTTTAGGTATTTTGATTCAGTAACGTAAAAAAGAAAACCTTAAGGTTAAAGGGTGGTAAAATGTTGAAAGATAACACGACGTAGTTTAATCGGTTTACTCTCTGGTCACCCAGAGAGCGAGCGATAGCTTTTCACACACACACACACAATGCTCTCTGGCCTTCCCCATGAATGGGTGGCTTTTGAAATGCTCGGAAAGTTCTTAAACGCCGCCCCTGGGTCTGCGATAATTGGAATTCTCTTACACCTTTTGTACGGTGTGACATCATGAAGCGTGAGAAAGCATCACCCTTGGTCGGTGGTTGTTTATGCCCTTTATGGATTATTTATTATTATAAGCTGCAACCCTGATGGATCAGTTACCAATTGAGAGGCACTGAAAATGTAAATTGAGAGCGAGACACATTGAAAATATGGGTCAGCGCATGGCAAAGCTCAACTTGGCACAGCAATTAATGAAAGTCATTCATGAATGCAAAGGCGGAGAGGAAAAACCAAAACAAAATGCTTGTTTTTCTTCTTTTGCGTTTGAAGTTTACATAATCACGAAAAGAGTAAATAAATGAAAAAAAAAACGAGTTTGTCGCGTATTTATAAACCAAACCAGACAAATGACGTCACGGTTTGGTGATTGCATTGCATTTGATATTTCTGAATGTATTTTCTGTTGTGTTGAGTTGCGAGGCTGGCCCTGAAATATATTAGAGTTGCACTTCAAATGGCCTAAAGCACTTTTTTTTGCTTGCAACGCAATTTAATTTGCAATGCATATTCTAAATTCTAAGCCTGACAGAGGTCGACGACTAAAATTAATTAATTGATTTGAAAGTAATCAAGAGTCCGTTTTGGAAGCCCAGTTAGAAGTTTAAAATGAAGCCAAGCTATTTTAAAACCCTTTTGAGATTTGTCACCATAGAATATGACATTGGAGATAGAAATCTTAACTCCATGTCAACAAAGAAAATCTTTATATTGCAAACAAATTCAAATAAAAATAATAATACATAAATAAATTATAACAAGAAAGGAAGCTAACTTCGGCACGCCGAAGTTTATATACCCTTGCAGATAGAACTTCTATGAATAGAAATCCATACATATAAAAAATATATATTTGTGTTAAAAAACAATGAAGTAATACCTGCTTTCATTTCATTCACCTATACATATTATATTTGCAGTTTTACATTCACAGATTTGCATTTTTTCTCTACATCAAACGATCGTTTCTATGGCACCTATATTATATAGTCGTCCGATTTTCATGAAATTTGACACAAAATGTAAGACTAATATAAAATGACAATACCTCAAATTTGATGAAAATCAGCAGAAAACTGAAAAAGTTATAAATTTAATTGTATTAATTTCTCGATCGTTCCTATGGGAGCTATATGATTTAGTAGTCTGATTTTCATAAAATTTTATGCAAGATTGTAGAGTATAGTTAAATGGCTATATCTCAAATTTGATCCAATTCTATTGAAACTGAAAAAGTTAAAAGTTTTATTGTAAAAATTTTCCGATCATTCCTATGGCAGCTATATGATATAGTTGTCCGATCCGGCCCCTTCCGACATATATACGAGTGAGAGTGTATAGAAGGCTAACTACAAAGTTTCATTCAGATAGCTTCAAAACTGAGAGACTAGTTTACGTAGAAACGGACAGACGGACAGAAGGACAGACGGACAGACGGACATGGCTAGATCGACTCGGCTGTTGATTCTGATCAAGAATATATGTATATACTTTATATAGTCGGAGGTGCCTCCTTCACTGCGTTGCAAATTTCTGACTGAAATTATAATACCCTGCAAGGGGTATAAAAATAAGATCTTATTTCAATGGGAAGGTTATATAGAAATTACAACAAAATTAAAAACGTTCAAACATTTGCTAACATTTTGTATACAGGGTATTATATTTTTAGTCAATAGCATAAAACTCAATAAAGGAGTCATTTCCGACCCTATAAATCATATATATTCTTAATCAGCATCAAAAGGCGAGTCGATTTAGCCATCTTCCAAAGAAATTGTATTCTACAAATTTTTTTGCAATTTTTTTATATTTAAAATTTCATAATTTAAAAGTTCAAAAATAGACAAAAAATTTTTTTAATATCAAATTGAGTATGTAGGTTTATTAACTAACAAAAACTAACATGGAACAGCTTTGCGAATAGAAATTAATGCTTTTTTGGCTGAGTTTGGCTGATTGTCATTTGAAAAAAATTGTCATATAAAAATATAGATAAATATTGACCCAAAAATGGTATTATAATTTTAGTCAGAGCTTACAAAGCAGTGAAGGAATCATTTCCGGCCCTAAAAACCATAT